GACTATAAAACATTCTTAAAATTCTAAAAAGGTAGATCCCCGGTTACTTTAATACTAACCTACATACCTACATTTTAATAAAATCGTACAACTTCCGTATGGAAAATAAAATACACAAGTACAATGTTTAAAGATGCAAATATAATCATTGAAAGCAAGTTTTCGGTATACTTAACGAACTAGGATAAAACAAATTATAAAATGTAGCCAAGAACTTTTTTGAGGATTCACTTTTGTTGTGTTGGATGCGGTTTAATTAGCTTGTCTCGCCTTTAAGCTGGAATGCTTTCTAAGGTCTTGTTTGTTATTGTGCATCTTGTTTGTGGAATTCATGGCACCAGAACTAATGCAAAACAAGAAAGAAAGATAGTTTGTGACCCTTGCAGCTATAGCACAAATTAAATTAAATTAAGTTCCTTATAAAATGTATATTCCAATTTGTATACGTAATTTTTTTGACGAATTATTCGATCGTTTCTATGGCAGCTATAGCTATATGATATTGTATGCCTTTTTGCTTAGATTAATTTAAATAGCTACAAAACTGACGGACTAGTTTGCGTAGAAACGGACGGACAGACGGACATGGCTAAATCGAAGAGTCTAGTGATATTGATAAAGAATATACATATATATTCTGTAGGGTCGGAAATGTGTCTTTCAGTGCGTTGCAAATAAATTGTAATACTCTCTGCAAGAGTATAAAAACACCCGATGTCTGGCAAGTAGCCGACATCGCCCCAAAACCCCCTTTTCTTAATAAGTCCCTATTGTTTTATTTTGTTATTCAGATTCTTTTCTATCTGGCGTGTTATAAACTAAAAATAAAATAAGCTGTTTGGCTTGGTTGTAATTTGTATTGTTGTTTTATGCCCAACACAACTAATTGAATAATAATGCAAAGTAATATCGTGAATACACGACTGATGTGTTTGAAATAAAGCATTTATACCAATTTGTTTTTTTAGGCTATCATATCTAAAAACATAATAAGCCTTTTAAAATTTATTTATAGATATAAATTTCCTATAAAAACAAGTGTTTTTGCTTATGATGGTGTTTTTAAAAGATAATCGAAACTATTCTACGACCTGTTGTTTGGAAATATAATAAGAATAATAAGTTATTTCCGCATCATCAGCGCTAGTACAAGTTCCACATCTGTATATAACGGTACTGCGTCTTGGAAATAGCAAATTTTTGTCAATGGGTGTGGGAGTGACAGAGATAGCGTCAACGACGTGTATCGAAACTCCCTTATAGTCAAAATTCAAGGTCACGCAACAACAACAACAAGAAGAAAAGTGGAGAGACTACATAATGCTGTTACCGTTAAAGCTTTGCAACCCCCACAAACATTAGAGCCATCTCTTTTCCACTAACTGTGAATTGAAAGTAGTCCTTGTTTGTGATTGTTTTGTTTTGTATTTTATATGTACATGAATCCCTATGTTTTGTAATAATCCTGATTTTTTTATGTCAGCTTGTTTGTTTTTAACAAAACTTATTTAAAATAATAATGTATAAAACTTTTTCATATTACTTTTATTCTGTTTGTTTCGAATTTCCATTTTTCACTTCTAGTTCTTTCACCCATGTAAAGCATAATAAAAACAAAGATAACGTGCCAAAAAAAGCCGCACGACGGTGTTATTTTTGTTTTAATATGTATGTTGTTGTTTTGGTGCGTTTAGCTGGGTGGGTGTGTGTGAGTGAGTGTGTCTGTGCTTAGTATTGCGTCGCTTTTGGTTTCCCCTCTTCTTTCTCTCCTTTGAATACTGATTCTTATATACTCCCTCTTTGTGAATACATACATATGTATGCTGTAACCGGTTTTATGTTTGTTTTGCCCGGTTTAACCTTGAAAATTTAGTGCGCCTTACGAATTTCTATGTTTTTATTGCCGTCTCCTTCCTTTTTCTGTCCATCTGCTTCTGCTTCTTCTTCGTTCGCACTTGTTGTGCCCCCTTTTTCTGATAACAAAAACAGAAACAACAAAACAAACATTTTTCGGCTGCTGTTCCCATCTCTTTTGCTCCTTTGCTTCTTGTTGATGCGAGCCCGAAATTATTTTTTAACCCCGAAAATAAGGAAAAGTAGGAGAGGTGGAGGGAAAGAGAGATAGAGAAAGGAAAGGGGAAAAGCATAAAAGTGACGCTGTTGAAATTGCGTCGCAAAAGTTTCGCAAAAAGCCAGCAATGCACAATAAAAAAAGAACAAGAATCAGAATTGGTCGCAACATTGTATGCTTTGTTTTAACGGAGGAGGTAAGAATATTAGACACACTAAGGTTTATAGCTGTATAATAATATATACATACATATATACGAAGTAATAAGATAACTTGGAATTTGTTTATATTTATTTCTTCATTTCTTTGGATTTGAAACCAACAGGTTCTGTATTACAATTCCTACCGTTTAAGTCAACATAATTGCTTAAAATGCTGATGAATACCGGTTCAGACATATTGATATACGCTAGGTATTTGTGATTTTTACATCAGATTTCAAAAGCTCAAGCTACTGTAAAATGTTATTATAAATAATTGTTTAGCTTTTAAATCACAATCAATTCTGTGAAGACTAAATATTTTATCAGCACCGTGATTGGTTGGACAAAATGGAAAAATAAAAATCGAGTCGAGAGCATCAGATGACATGGAAATTTCCGGAATAGGCGCCGAATGCAAATAAACTCATTTACAAAAAAAATCAAAATATACAACATACAAGTTGGACAGGCTGAAATAAAATAAAATTTGGAGAGGGCGGCTGTGGGCAGCAGTTTTAGGTTTTTCTCGCTTTTGCTTTTCTTGTACATTCGGGTGCGTGCGTGCCGGTTGAATTTATCACGTACACCAAAATTCCACATTTTTCCAATTGGAGAAAACATGCCATTTAAAACCATTAAAATTTAAACACTTTTAATAATGAATTATAGTTTAAAACCACATTTGTTATCATTTTGTGACCGGGGCTGTATTATTGTTTTGCACTTTTGTGCTTTTGTACTCGCATTCGCCGGCAGTTTTTTCTTATTTACTTTTAATCGCTCTTCGTCAAGATCGATGTTGTTGCTGTTATTGTTTCTTCTTTGCCACTTACCGATGTGTTTTTCTGCCTCTCCTGTTGTCCCTTTCTATCTGTCTCGCTCGCTCTCCCCCTCTCGCTCTGATGCTGTAACAAGAACAACAACAAACGACGCGACTGCGACAACAACAACGTTGGCCCACTGCAGTCGACGTCGACCGCGCTGCTTTTATGCGCTGGAAGCCTGTTTTGTTGTTGTTTCGTGGTCTCCTTTTTCGCTCACTTCTTATTGGCGTGGGGGCGAGTGGCAAAAAATGCACTCAAATCTTTTGTGGCTCACAGAAAAAAATACACATATGTGTGTGTTTACAAGAGGGTTCCTTCACACACACACAAACTCAACACCCACAACCATTTAGTTTTGTGTGGGGGAGCTGTTGCTGCAATTGTTGTTTTTATTTGTTGCTGTCGCCTGCTGCTCCTTTTCTTGCTTTTGTTGGTAATTTGCGCAGAGCTATGTGAACTTTTGTTGGAACAAAAAGGATGGAGAACCGCTAAATGTAACAAACGCACAGAACCACACGCCGTGAGAAATCAACTTTGAATGAGCGTGAGAGCCACGCGGCGTGCGCTTTTATAGCGTTTTCGTTAAATCGCCGGGGGTCGACTTGAGTTACACTCTCGTTTTCCGGGAAACGTTACTTCTCTTCTTCGCTCGAAAGGCTCTCGTAGTTCCCTCTTTCCGACTTTACTGATAAAATTTGGTCAGTTTTAGCACAGGACACACATTTAAAATACAACTTACCCATTTTTAGAGAAATGCACGTTTCGTTACTGTTTTAATAACTAATATACCCTTGTTATCCATTTTTTTGCCTCTCTTTTCGTCTCTTTTCGTGGGACCGAAATAAGAACTTTTAAAAATAATAATAATTATGTACGTAGCGGCTTAAGGTTTTTAATACCTTAACTTGTATTTGTTGCAACAACTTACATATTTAAGAATTAATTAAATAAATAAGTTCCAAGAATTTTAACGCATCGAGGTTGCCAGACTTGTTCATATTAGGCAACGCGCTGTCAAGCAGTTGTAAAGTAGAAATTCCTCCTGGTAGAAAAACCATGAAATATGTTACTATTTGTCAGTTGATCCTGAAAATACGAGAAGACATAATCGAAATCTTAATCGCTGATGGCGATCTTCTTGACAGTCTTCCATGGTAGTGGCAGCAACGAAAAGTGACGGTTCTTTTTAATTACAATGAATAAATTATTTATCAGAACAAAAATGTCAAAACAAATTTATTTTATTGTTATTTAAATGCGAATTACATTGTTTTGTTTTTGCTTTGATAGTACGATTTATCTTTTTTATTTTGTAGTTTACCCTTGGCATTGCATTTTTAGCTCAAAATAAATAGTTCTTAAATACGTTAATTTAAATTCAATTCCAATATTGTTGAAGATAAAATAGTTATTTTTTTTCAATGCATAAACTAAATTTAGTAAAACAAATTTGCATTTTTCATAGCTTTTTTTTTCAAAACTTCACTGTAAAAACCACGAACTATCGCGGTTCTTTTCCAAAAAGGGACGAAATACAACAAAAGAAAATAAAAGTTTTACCGTTTGGTATGTATTTTCGAGAATATTTATTTTTCTTAATATTATAAAATTTAGAGAACATGTAATTTGATAGAAAAATGTTTAATTATTAACAAAGTATTTAGTGAGAAATGTGGAAAGGAAAAATAAAATTATTTACATAAAATTTTCTGATTTACATAATATTATTTTGCATTTATATTTTAAATATTTCCCTTCAAATTAATTTAGTAAAAAAAATTTGAATTTTTCATGTTTTTCACGAACTATCGCATAAAATAGTGGCAACGACGCAAAATTGCGGTTCTTTTCTAAAAAGCCGCAAAAGATAATACAAGAAAATGAATGTTTAACCGTTACGTATTCCTTGTGCTTTAGAGAATATTTACATAGTTTTATTCATATAATAAAATTTAGAGAACATGTGATTTGATAGAATAATATGTATGTTTTAATCAATAACAAAGTATTTCGTGAGCAAAGTGAGAAGAAAAAAAATTAATAACTAAAAACTTTTTAATTTACATTATATTCTTATGCATTTATATTTTAAACTATTTCCCAGAATTCCTTTCGAAGTTTCCAATTTTTTCTTAGAAATAGGTAATCAAAAAAATTGCTGAGCAACGCAAACAAAAAAAAACTGACGAATGCTTCTTCTTAATATGTGTTCGATTACATATGCACAAACATACATATGTATGTATGTGTGTAAATAACTTAAAGTGGCTTAGTATTAGAGGCTTATATATATATATATATATATATATATATATATATATATATATATATATATGTATGTTTGGGAACAAGAGTACTATAACTAATTTTTTTCGATGAAGCGCCTGCGTTCGCGCTCACGGAATTCGCGACGAGCGGCCGGCGGATTACCCTGGGGATTCCGGATAATTAACTCCTTTTCGCAGTATTTTCGGGGATTGTAAGTGGGGGCCGGCGGCTCGGCATCCCAATCCTCCGTGGTTTCAATAATAAAATCTCTAGGACGAGGTTCCACAGGCGGCAGCATATCCGGCAACTTGTAGCGCTCTAGGGATGACCGATTCGGGCACTCGATGACATGTTTCTGCAAGTCGTATAGCCCATTTATTTCAGTCACCTACCATATGTTCGGTATTAATTTATTTTAAATACCCACCTGCATGTCCCAAACAGAGTGTAAATGGCAGCTATTGAATGGACAGCGGACCATCTTGCTTGAGGAAAAATTCTTCGCGCAGCGGGTCAAATGATAGGATAAACGAACCGGAATTATGCGATGGACGCTATCGTAGGGGCACACGATATACTGCTCAAAATTCGGACCGCTCACCGAGTATTCTTTTTTAGACATTTTAAACTTTAACTGTTTAACTTAACAAATTTGTTTTAAAGTCTATTCCGTTCTCTTCGGCGCCGATAGTAAAATTGAATTGATCGACGCTTGGACAGGGTTGTCAAAATACCAAAATTCGCTTTGTGACCTGTTGCCATTTTATTTGGTATTTTAATACGCCAATTCAATTGCAAAAATGTTGGAATATACATAATTGTTTTTAATGAAATAACATTGTTGTAAATAAATAAATACGTAACAAAAAAAGAAAATATTTGTTTGTGTTATAATAAAAACACAATGTTTTCAACTGCAGTAGCTATATATATATGTTCAATAGAAAGCCCAATCTCAGCACTTTCAAGCGGAACGGTTGGGATTTTTGACTGAAGTGAAACTCATTTCCGACAGAGCCACCATCCAAATTTTGAATTCTAAAAACATCAGACAACAGTCACAGTGGCGTAAGCCCCTATATGATTATATCTATTGAATTCAATGAGAAAACGGTTTTAGTTAGTGGAGCTTTAATTTCACCTCCAATATAACAAGTTACTAAATTAATTTTAAGTAATTTATTTATTATGCCCCAAGTCACTGTACAGAAAGTGTATAAAAATAAATAATAATACTTTAATTTTTAAATATTTATTTATTTTGTAAGTGAAGTGAAGTAGACGATTATTGCAGTGCCTGGCCACTCTAAGCCAGAAAGAGGTTGCCAGATAGTCGTCGGGTGTCGATAAGCGATAACACCACCGATTGCCGTTGTTTACCTCCTTCAACGCACGTGCATTGCCGTTTTTGTGGAATTCTTTGATTTAACAAAGCATTTTAGGAACTCCAAGATGCCGCCCATTGCCCAGGAGGGCAATTGCCTGATCTACCGCGGCAGCAACTTTCTCAAGCAGCGCCTGATCCTTGCCTGCCTGTCCGGCAAACCGGTGAAGATCAACCAAATCCGAGCGGAGGACGAAATGGCGCCCGGACTGCGGGAGTACGAGATAAGTTTGATCCGTCTGCTAGATAAGATCACCAACGGAACCAAGATCGAGCTAAATCCCGCAGGCACGAGTGTCATGTTCACGCCGGGATTGCTGCACGGCGGGCAGATCCACCACGATTGCTGTGTTCAACGTGGAATTGGCTACTATTTGGACGCCCTGATTGCCCTGGGTCCGTTCTGTAAGAATCCGCTACATTGCACCCTGCGCGGCGTGACCAACAGCAAGGACTCGCCATCGGTGGACCACATCAAGGGTGCGGCACTGTCCCTGCTCAAGCGATTCCTCCTGGTCGACGAGGGCCTCGAACTGAAGGTGATCCGCCGAGGAGTTGCACCACTGGGCGGCGGTGAGATCACCTTTCGCTGTCCGGTGCGAAAGAGCCTGCGTGCCATCCAATTCCAGTCGCAGGGCATGGTCAAACGCATCCGGGGCACAGTCTACGCCTGCAAAGTCTCGCCCGCAATGGCCAATCGCACCGTGGAGGCGGCCAAGGGCTGTATGCTAAAATTCCTGCCCGACGTCTACATCTACACCGACCAGAACAAGGGCAAGATGTCTGGAAATTCGCCCGGATTCGGCATATGTCTGATTGCAGAGACCACGGATGGCGTATGCTTTGCCGCCGATTGCAGTTCGAACACAAGGGAGGAGTCGGTGAGTCGGGCATTTGGATTTCGTATTGGTTTCACAAACTAAACACAAATCATTTTTATTTTCTGTTAAGGACACCCCTTCCATACCAGAGGATCTGGGCCAAGAGGTGGCCATGCGTTTGCTGGACGAGATCTACCGCGGTGGCTGCGTGGACTCCAGCTACCAATGGCTGGCAGCACTCTACATAGCATTGGGCCAAAAGCACGTTTCCAAATTCCTCACAGGTTGGACTGCAGACTATAACTATTTATGAAGAGTCACGCTTTAATTGATTTTCGGTTTTATGGCACTTAATTTAGGAGCTCTGTCCACCTACACGGTTCACTTCCTGCAACATCTACGCGACTTCTTCTCGATCACCTTCAAGTTGGAGAATCCCGAGGCGGAAGATGAGGACGAGGCTGGGGATGTGCGAGGTGCCCAGAAGGTCCTTATGGCTTGTGTCGGGATCGGCTACACGAACATCAACAAGCGTGTTACATAAACTATTCTCTAGGCTAACACTTGTAAGAATAAATATGTTTTTTTTTTATGACAAATTAGAAATTAAATGTATTTTAATGTGTAGAAAGGTTTGTTTGTTCTGTAAGATAATGAATTTTCATCAATAGAATTCAAAATATTTAATAACCAATTGTTCTTTAAATTATATTAATTTCATTCATTCTATTTTTATTTTATATGCTTATTAAGTTAATTAATTAATTCGATCAAATGAATTCATTTAATTGGCCAAAGGTGGGTCTAAAACCAATAAAACCTTTTAAAATAAGTGAGTATCTAAATTTATTATGACCCAACATCATTCAATGTTAGGAAAACTAACGGCTGTTAACATTTTTGTTTAATTTTTTATTGACTTAGCCATGGTCTTTCTGAATTTTTGTTTACTTTCAGCATAACAAAATAAATATTTATAAAACCGAAGAAAACCACAACCCACTTTTTTATGTAATTCAATTTTGTGCAGTTTTAGCAGAAGAATTTTTTATTGAACTAGGCATAAAATTGTATTTACCTCTCAAGAAAAATAATGACATTTTGATGAATAAAAATATACCTTATTTCAATTTTAGGGCTTATCATACCATTTAATGTAGATGGATTAAAAATTGCAAAGGCAGTTGCATAGCTTTTTAATATATACTATGTACACCAGGTCATTGATTTGAATTTGGCCGGGTTCCAATCGCTGGAGGTCAATGCCGGGTCACATCAGCGGATGAGTCTCTCATTTGACGCAGGTGTTGCAAGTTTGTTGCCAGTTCAATTCTAATCAAGGAACATGTATAAGTTTTTTAATCACCGGGCTGCATTACAAAATATGTGCACGGAAAAAATTTTAATTTGAAATTGAAGAAAACTTATTCTAGGAAAAATATATAACACCTTTAATTATTTTAAAGCATTACGAAGAAATAATACTTTAAATTAAAATTTTAAAATTGTTTAGAATACAAGTTGACTATGTAAATATATATACTTTAGAGCCAAACTTTAAAAAAGGTCATCGATAAAAATTTTTCAAAAGAGGAAGAAGTTTTTTGAAGAAAATGGTGTTTTGAGAGTCGCATCATCCCAGGTGATCGCAATTTAATCATTTATGAATGGGTTATTTTTACACATTGTTTTTGCCAAGTGTGAAGAGGTTCAAAAACCTTTTTGTGATAAGAGAACCGCTGGCAAACACATGCGAAATTAATCGGTTATTGCAATTTTCCCCTGACTTGCATTTAAAACCCGGCGACAGATCAGCAGAACGAAGAGGGGTGGAAAAGTGAAAAGCTGGACGCCAGACAGTCGACGATTGACTTCCTGTGGTCAGCAGAAAATAGTTCGCACAGCTATGGAGAATCGGAACGCTATATAAGCCACAAGACGGGCTGGAAGAAGCCATCAAACGTCGTTCAACGTTTGGCCTGATCCGATCTGCTTCTGATCCACACCGACATGATGAGTCTGCGCCTGTGCCTGCTGGCCACCTGCCTCCTGGTGGCGGCCCAAGCCTCCAAGGATGGCTCCAACATGCAGCTGAAGCCGACCAAGTGGATGACCGCCTCCGATCTGGAGAGTGTGCCCTCGCTCAACGACATCACCTGGGAGCGTTTGGAGAACCAGCCCCTGCATCAGGGTGCCAAGATGATCGAGAAGATCTGTAAGTAAATGAATAAAACTGTACAGAAACAGGGATGTTTGAAATCCCTTAAAAAGGTGTCTGAAAGTATGCAACAATATTGTTGAAGTCAGAAAGTCCAATGGATTTAATTCAATTTTCCATTGCAAACTTTTAGACACTTTTATAGGAGAATTTAAAAGTCTAGTGATATATGTGACATAACCGATAATTAAAAAAAAATTTGAAAGTATTAAAAAAGGTGCCTGAATGTTTGAAGCAACATATTCGAAGTCCGGAATTTATTGTTGCAAAGACAATTTTATAAGTGATTTTCAAAGTCTAGTGATTTATGTGGTGATTTAATGTGTGTTTTAAGCATGTAAAATTTTATTTCAAGTCCAAAAATCCAATGGTTTCATTCCAAAAGACGATGTTAACTGCATACTTTTATACACTTAAATCTAGTGATTTCTTTGGCATTCCGCGATAATTGAAAATTAAAAACTATATAATTAACATCGCTTTCAACCCCAATTGAATGCAATCCTTAGACCATGTTGGCCAAATCAAGCACGATCTGACCCCCAGCTTTGTGCCCAGCCCCAGCAATGTGCCCGTCTGGATCATCAAGTCCAACGGCCAGAAGATGGAGGCCAAGCTGAACAACTACGTGGAGAAGGCCAAGGCCCAGCCCGGTTTCGGTGAGGATGAGGTGACCATTGTGCTGACCGGCCTGCCCCAGAGCAGTCCCGCCAACAAGAAGGCCATGCGCAAGCTGGTCCAGGCCTACCTCCAGAAGTACAACCTCCAGCAGCAGCAGAAGAACGCCCAGGAGCAGCAGGAGCAGCACAAGAGCTCCGACTACGACTACACCAGCAGCGAGGAGACCGCCGACCAGTGGAAATCGGCCAAGGCTGCCAGCGGCGATTTGATCGTGAGTTTTCTTACTCAATGGGTTCAATTTAAAATTAATTGAGTGTTTACAAACCCCTTTAAAAATTTACTCCTTTTGTTTTTGTACAGGTTTTTTGATTTTGTATAGCTTTTAATTTAAATTTAGGGATTTAAGGGTGAAAAAGACTCTTCATTTCATCAGCAGCATCTAAAAACCTTAAACGTTAAGATGAACTATAACGGTTTTGTTGCAAAAAGTTCTTAAGCCTTTCCATACTCTAAAACCTATATTTAAAATGATAGCATGCTCTTTTACAAAGTTTTTATACATTTCGCGTACAATAACTCCCTTGCCATCAGTTACTGTTTGCTTAAAATAATGACATTTAAAACCTTTTACTGTCAAGATAGACCAAAGAAAGTGGGCTTCTTTATACACATTTGTATTTAAATCTATTTATCTTCATTTACAGATCATCGACCTCGGCTCCACCCTGACGAACTTCAAGCGCTACGCGATGCTGGATGTGCAGAACACCGGCGCCATGATCGGCCAGACCCTGGTCGAGCTGAGCAACAAGGGAGTGCCCCAGGAGATCATCCATCTGATTGGCCAGGGCATCAGTGCCCATGTGGCCGGAGCTGCTGGCAACAAGTTCACCGCCCAAACTGGACACAAGCTGCGCCGCATCACCGGTCTGGATCCCGCCAAGATGCTGTCCAAGCGTCCCCAGACTCTGGATGGTCTGTCCCGCGGCGATGCCGATTTCGTGGATGCCATCCACACCTCGGCCTTTGCCATGGGCACACCCATTCGTTGCGGTGACGTGGACTTCTATCCCAATGGACCGTCGACCGGTGTTCCCGGCTCCGAGAATGTGATCGAGGCGGTGGCCCGTGCCACCCGCTACTTTGCCGAATCCGTGCGTCCCGGTAACGAGCGCAACTTCCCCGCCGTTCCGGCCAATTCCCTGAAGCAGTACAAGGAGCAGGACGGTTTTGGCAAGCGCGCCTTCATGGGTCTACAGACCGATTACGATCTGCGCGGCGACTACATCCTGGAGGTCAACCCCAAGAGCCCCTTCGGTCAGCGCAGCCCCGCCCACAAGCAGGCCTCCTACCATGGCACCCATAACGCCCAGAACTAGGTCGCATCTCATCCACACATTTTCAGGCACTTTCTTCTGATACTCAGAGAAAACCCGGAAAGCAACGTAGTCTAGTTTAGAAGTTCTATTGAACGATCAAAAAAAAGAAAAAACTTATAAAATCCCATAAAAATAAAGCTGCAAATTAAAAAAAAATATATATATGTTGAGTTTAACTAATGGATTTATGGAGTTAATGCAAAAAACAACACAGCAGATAGTTCGATTTCACTATCTGTTCTTATATTCCATTATTGAATCTGAAGTTCACATTTTTATAAATGTAAAAAATCTGAATCAAGTTATTTAATCAGGAAATTAAAATGGATAAAATCATATGAAATTATATATGTATTATATATTAGTTAAATTTTCAAAGATAAAGAAACATTTTAAAATTGATTTAAAGACAAAATGCGAAAATCTTAAAAAAAATATATGTATACGGTTTCCACTTTATACCCTTTTATTATTCTTTTGGATAATATACGCGCAAACCAAAATCCATTAAATAACTTAAGCTAAAAATAATTAATATGTATGTACATATGTACATACATACATATGCAATAAGAACTGATCTTAAGCAGATGCCCACAAGAACATGATAAATAAAGCAAACAATTAAATGCTTATAATACCATTATGATACCTAATAATAGAGCAAGGCTAAAACACTTTGGAAAAGTTTAGTAGAAAATGAATTCAAGCAGCCAGATTCCGAAGTGCACTTCATAAAATTATTAAATAAACATACCTTAAAAATGTTTATCCTAACATCCTTTTGAAATCTTGCTAAACAAGCTTTTAATTAGTTTGTCAGTCGTGAATAAGTCGTAAATTGAAAAGTACCCTTGATATTCATTAAACCAAATATTTAATTACATATCAGATATGTATGCGAACTTGAGATGAAAGTTTGCATAAAGAGATTGAAATGGAGTGAGTGGAAGTGAGGAAACTAGTATCTCTTCGCCGCCATTAGATATGCACTCAATTAAAGGTGCATTTAGTTTACCGTTAGCGCTTACACGTTTAAACATCACTCGCCAACCTGTGCAAACTCAATTGTTTCTCTATTTTGCGGGCATGCGCGGTGTAAATGTCAAAGTTGAACTTTATCACATGCAATAGACAAACTAGAAAGGGCAGTGAAAACAACAAAGCCAGAAAATTCCGAAAGCGAGAGAGAGAGAGGGAGAGAGAGAGAGAGAGGGAGGGAGATATGTAGCTGGAGTGACAGGAGCGGAATGACAACAGTTGGCGTCTTTTGTTTGTGCATGTCGTGACATGTTTGCTTTGACTGTGAGCGAAATACGCCGTAATAGCTTAAGCTTATCGCCGTTCACATAGAAATGCTTTCTCGTTCACGCTATCTCCTGCACCTGCCTGCACACCCCCACTTTTTTGTTATTTTTTGCAAAGCTTGCAGCTTGCTTTCTCTCAGTGCTTCTCTCTATCGTCAAGAGAGAGCGCACAAGGACGCCGGGACGTTGGCATTTCGTGGGGCCCTCCATGTTTCTTGCAGGAGTTATGCTTATATTATTCATTGGCCGATATGCATAAATCCAATTTACGGAACCCCCTTTTCAGGGGGTTCTCAAAGTGAAAGAGAGAGAGAGAGAGAGCGAGCATTTATTTGGCGCTTTCACGCGCGCTTTTGTTGCGCACAACTTAGAACAAGGGGTGTTCCAAATAAGCAGAAGAAAAAACCATACCATAACCGTTCAATATGATCAATTTCGGTGTGTATTTGAAGACAAAAAAAGATTGTTGTAAGTTTCAATGCTTCTGTAAAAATTACTTATACGACACGTAATATCAGTTTAAAAAAATTATTTGGTCAATGGCAACATTGCGTATGAGCGATTTTTTAATTTTTTTTTACTCATACGCACTGTTGGCTTGAAACAAGTACTCAATTAAATTTTTGTTTTTAATTTGAAAACATTTTTTAATCATCGCATAAATTAAAAAAATATATATTTATTCCACACCAAAATCTACAGTTTTAAATAGAGAGCATCACTCTTATGTACATATATAAGTATGTATATCTATAATTGAAATACTGGTTCCTGGTCTTAAATTATAAAAAAAAAATGTTATCATTCTAGTTTTTATTTTTGTCAGATAATTTGCAAGCAAGAAAAAATATTCATTAAATAGTTGTGATATCTTTGGGTTTCAAACGTCTAAATCTGAAATTATTTTTGGGAACGCCATCGCGCTCTCTCTCTCTCTGCGCCTCTCATTTTCTGGTTTTTCTCTGCGTCTAGTTTAGTTGATTTCAGCTTAAGTTTATATTAAATATAAAAATATACAAAAAAAAAAGTATTGATATTGTTTAAAATGTTTAAATATAGTTGCAAGCTGGCGGGATAAATTTGAATTGTTTTCCGCTTCTCAACAAGCCCAGCTGACTGACAGTAAGACCGTAGCACACGCAGTGCGGTCACACTACAAAGAATAAAGTTTTTCCGCTGGCCAAATTGTTTTTAGGCTTTAGTTCACAATCGAACGCGAGCCGAGTCGCAACACCGTCGTCGCGCAGCGCGTGCTGGTTTTTCAGTGTGTACGTTTTGATTGCAAAAAAATATAAGCAAAAGAGGAAGGCAAGCAACAAAGCTGAAAAAAACATTTTTCATTTGCGGCCTGGAAAAGCGCCCCAAAGAAAATGAATAGATAAATTGTGTTAATCGCCCCATCGAGCCAGCAAATATTTACTGTATATTTATATTTTGTTGTTGTGCTTTTTTTTTGTTGCGTTTGGGCATTATTCATTTGTTAATTGTGCAGCTGCCCGCTGCCTGCGAGTGATAAAAATGTGAGTTTCCCTTGAAAGACTGTGCGTCGTCTTTCCCTGTTTTTTTTTTTTTTTTGGTTCTTTGTTGCGGAAATAATAGTTTAAAAAAAAATGCGCAAATTTAGTTAAGGATAACGGTGCTTGTGGGTGGATGTGTGTGTGTGTGTGTGTGTGTGTGTGTGTGTGTGTGTGTGTGTGTGTGTGTGTGTGTGTGTGTGTGTGCCTTGTGGGTGGTTTGTAGCTGCTCTGCGTAAATGCGTAAGCTGCGTTGTGTGTGTGTGCGTGCGTGTTGGCTGTGGCCAGGTCTCAAGGTCCCGTTAGCTCTTTCTCACTTGCAAGCTTTTCTCTCTTCTTCACACAACAAGTCTGTGATAAGAATTTTCCATGCGTAATTTTCACGTAAAGCTTTGTTTTGTTTTGTTTGGGTTTTCGCAGTTTGGTTTTTCTTTGTTTTTTTTTTTTGTTTCTCAGTCATAAGCTTCCTACTCCGTTTAGTTTTTGGGCTTATAACTTTTATTTTACTTTACGGAAAAACGGGGATGTATTTGAGCAATAATCTCCTGAGTTTTCATCACCTACTTTTTAATATTTTTTGAAAATGTTTTTTTTTTTTATTTTCGACTCACAGCGAAAAATTGGTAAAGACAATAAATAAGGTTTTAAAAAAATCAAAGTGTTTTATGCTTTTTTAGGTATCATTTTTAACTGATACCATTAAATCAACGTTAAACGATAATAAATAATAAAATTTTAACTACTCATTGGACATTTATAGGATATTAATTCTCGGTCTTTTGTTCGCAAACAATTTTATTTGATGGACAATAAAATAATTTGATTTAAAATTGTTTTAATTTTAAAGTGCTATACATCAAATGTTCAACTAGAATTCTATGATCATCAAATTGATTTAACATTTGTTATCTAATTTTTGTAAGACCGTAACACTGCTTTAAGTAATTTAAAGTTTAAAATTGTATGCATGTTTCAACCATAAAAAATTAAATTAATTTTAATATTTATGTCTGTATCAAAAAGTAACAAAAGGAAGAAACTATGGATAGCTTTTTTGTGGCATGTGCGTTTTTTAAGCGTGCGTTTGCTGTGTTTTTATTTAGCCTACTTGTTGTATTTATAAATTATTAATAAGCACAAAGCGTGCCACAGGTGTGCAACACAAAGTTAGCGAGAGGAGGAGAGTTGGGAAGTGAGACAGAGAAAGAGAGCCAAAGAGAGAGCGCGACCTTTTTTTTTTGCTCTTTTCCGTCTAATTTAGCTCACTAAACTTGAGACTCGTATTAAATAGGCTTTGCTTGAACCTTTGCTCTCTTTGCATCTCAACTATTTCCGTCTCTGTTCCACTAACGCTTTCAGTTATTTCCGCTTGAGAGCGTTTATTTATTTATTTTTTTTTTTGTTTTCCTTTTTATAAACGTTTATTTTTGCTCTTTTTTGTACACCTTCATTTATTGTATTGTATTTCTTGGCCAATTACCATGGCAATTTATTTATCAGTTGGCGTTGTTGTTGCTACAATTGAGCAAATTCATTTTCCCCATTTTTGCCTTTTTTTGAGTACCGTTTGCCAGACTTAATAAAAAAGACTCTGTATAAAAAAAAACTAGAAATTTTGTAACCATTAAGCTTAACACTGAAAAATAATGTAGCTTGCCTTTGCCATTCGTATTGAGCATATTATAAAAATGTTATTGGGCAATAACTGAATCAAACAAATTTTTTTTAATAGTAAAATTTGGCTATAAAATTGAATAAGATCATAGGGAAATTTATATAAGATTTTACTGATTTAAAATATAAATTAATAAATACGGATTTTACCGCTGACCAAATATTAAACCTAAGTTTCTATGCAGCATTCGCAAGTTCGTTTATTGTATTTTCTGATATTGCAAAATTTTAGAGAAGTCTTTTGCTGAGTTTTTTCGGTGTATACCCATGTTTTACCCTTTGGTCACATCATAAAAAAAAATGTTAAATGACAAAATACATCATAAACACGACCACATTGAAGGCTACGTGCACTTTGGCCATCTCTTTTATGGCCAGGCCATATGTGTGATTTTGTAGTTTGTTTATTGATGCACAGTGTGTCAAAATGCGTGAGAAATTGCACGCCAAATTAAATTTTAAGACCATGAAAAAAAATACTCAGGGTTGGTAAATATTACAAACTTTTAAAGTGTTAATAAAATTCTAGTAAAAATAATAAAAATCTCAATAGTAAATTATTACCTTTTTTATTGTTACCTTTTTATTTTCTAATAAGACTCAAGAATTTTAATATTATTTATGACTTATAGTCAGTTTTTTACTATCCCAATATAAGAAGCTTTATTTAACTAAATCTTATCACTGCAAAACCTTTTCTCATCATGAATTTCCATGTTGCTTATCTTTATTAGCTCTAAATTGCTTATAAGCTGGGTTGTTTGCAGAGCTATAATATGGCAAGATAAAGAAAATAATTTCTTTAGCTCGCGTGCAAGAATTTTATTATATGATCTTTTTACTTCACTTGGTTTAATTTAAATTGGCTTATAATACCTATTCAACAGAGCAAATTCGAAATATGATCAGCAATGTAATTTACGCTGAATGAAAAATGGTGAACAGAATTAAATTTGTATTTAATGAATCAGAAAACTATTAGTTTTCTTTTGATTTATAATAGTTTTCTTTCAAAAAAATTGTTTTGCCATCGCATACTGCTCAGTCTATTATAACGTACATAGATTTTCACATTTTCAAAAACCTTTGACCCAGTGTGGCAAAAGAAAATCTGTCGGCGCATTTTCTGTGTCACAAAATGTAATTATGCTAAGGAGGCAAAGGGGATGGGGCAGGCTAACGTGGAGCGGGAGAGGGGGGAGCAGTCGGAGAAAGCTGGGGAAAAGGGGGGGGCGGTAGCAGAAGAAAGCAGTGGCCATATTGTTGGGGCTTACGATTGTGTTACGGCCTGCCTTGTAACTGCCATGACATAAACATGTGCATGTCTGTGTTTCGTTTTTTTTTTCCCTCTTCTTGCTGTGCCCAATAATTATTGATTGACTGCCTTTCAGTGCTGTGCTTGTTGTTGCAGCATCGCCTCTTCAACTTTCCAAACATATGTACACCCTATGTGTAGAAATTCTTATCTTATCATGGTCAAAATATATACGAATTTATGAAAGTATTAGCATATATTTTGCATTACCTTCTTAACCAATGAGTACCAAATATGTGTACTTAACAGTTTAATACTGATTACAATAAATTATTATGCAACCAAACTTAAATTAAACTTAATTTTTTAAACCAAATTCATTAATTTGTATGAAAGAAACAAAGAAAACTTTTGTTGATAAACTGATGAAATGATATATAATCCAGTTTTAAAGCACTTCTTTGTTTACCCATTAAAAATAAAAAACTGTTCCTTAGATCACAAATATGCAAAGTGCACAATGTAGCTAAAACGCCATTTTCATCAATTTAAAATTTCCCCTCCTCGAGTTCCCGACCAACAATAAAGTCCAATTAAAAAGAAAGCTCTCTTGGGATCCATAAAATTCAAACGGCGAATATAGTACCATTTGATGAGGAACTAGACAAATTTTGTGGTCGAGATAAATGCCAGATAAGATCTAAACAGATTAGGACTCTAATGGAGGTCATTAGCGCCGGAAGTTGACAGTTTGTAACCACAGTGGAGATAGATAAAATGTAAAAAGTTGGCGTGCAATGTAGAAACAAAAGAAAAAAACAATAATGGTAGAATGTCTATTTAATTCCTTATTAAATTTTGTCAAATAATAAAAGCTTCAAAAGCTTGTCCTTTTAATTTAAAAAAAACTAACTTTATTTACGGTGCTTAAGGTCAATCAGGTATATATTAAGATTAGATTACAACAAGGGAAAGGGTTTGACTGACAATAAATCACGTAAATGCTATTAAAAAATGAATGTAATGTAAATGAACATTCCTTAGATTAAAAAGCTATATATATTTCAAGAAATGCTGTGTTTTGAAGTCTAGCATACATTCATTATTTATTTAAAAAAAAAAGTTAAGGAAGTAGCCCTTCTTTAACGCTTGCAAATTTTCCTCAAACCGATAATTACTGTAATTACCGCCCAATATCAATAAGAACCTAATTAATATTGATGCACGGGAATCCATTACTTTGCTATCAATCATAATGATAATTCCCTATCACTGTTCGCATAGCACTCGACCTTAAACACGTGTTAGGCAGCTCATTTCCATGTCCACCGCCCCCAAAATTATGCACCCATCACCACCCACACTCCCTCCACTTTTAGTCACATTCCGATAGGTCAAAATGCGATGCAAATGCGTCAGACGTCCAAGTCCTATGTAACCCCCACTCTCACGGCCCATGTGCTGGAATTGCTGTTGTCAGCAGTCAACAATAAATCCAATTAGTACAAAAAATAGGAAAGGTAGAAATGGTTCAAGGTAAGAACAGCAACGAAAATATTGCACGATAAACTGAATTTTAGCTTAGTAGTAGTAGTCAGTGATGACATATTTTCAATAAGAAAACCAAACTTGTCAGAAGAAAGTGCTTAGGTTTAGGGAGTTCATCTGGGAAGCTTAAAAATTGTATTATATTTAAATTTAAAGCAAATAATTTCTCTTAAATACAAAATATTTGAATATTTTACGTCGAGTTTAATCGTTTTATAATTTGTACAGTTTTTAGATATGTTAGATTTTATGAAGCCTTCAAAAAATTGTATTGATACTCTGTTTGATATTGTTTTTTTCTTTTGGTACTTAATATATATATAGTAGTTAATATAAATATAGTGTTAATTAATTTTAAACATATGCTCCATTTTACGAAAACTACAAAAATGGTTTGTTTTTTTTTTTTTGAGGTTTTGTATTTGTACTTAATTAGTATATTCCAGTTGCAGTTACGTCTTTATATTGAACATTTCAAATTGTTGGGCAATTTTACGAAGTACTAAGTTTAAAGTAGACCTGGATACCAATCAATACGTAAATGAAATTAAAAAAAAAATATATACTTTGAAAAGGTCAAAGTAGGGAAAAAAAAGCGGATCTGACAGCACTGGTTGTCGCTGTGAAATGTGAGACCGTGCTTGACCTTATCGGATACTTTCTTATTGTTGTTGTCATTTAATTGACAGTGCCCCTCTCGTCCGGCCAACTAAAACCCCTGAGAGCCCTCGAGTCACATCCGATTATCTAGAGTGCCTGTCAAAGACCTTCCCCCTCCTCAATTCCTACCATGTCCCCATTTTGCTGTCACTCGAAATCAATAAATAAAATGGTAATTTACATTTTAGAACTCACGCATTAGTGGTATTACCCATTTGACACGAGACCAGCAAGTGACCTAGAAAAATATATAGCAAGGGTGGAACCATCAAAATAAAAACGTCAACTAGTTGGAGACCAAAGACATTATAGAATTAATCAATTTATGTTGTGTGAAAATGGATTTCACTGCCTCAAATAAAGACTCGCGTTTTTTAAACCTTTATTGTTTGTATTTGGTTTTTTTTTTAACTTTTAGAGTTTAGAATTTAAGTAAGATTAAAAATGCTGAGCCAGGGAATTCGCGAATTGTTATTAAATATTAGTTCAGTTCAAATTTATAATTGATTGGGGTTTTTATTGCCTTTGATTTTTGTATATTATACGTCAATTTATAAACAATTATATTAGTTTATCGAATTGTTATGGGGTTTATAACAGTATTTGGTAAAGTGTTTAGCACTGGTTTCTTTCTTTCTTTTAAAGCAATGAAAAAGGATTGTATCTCAATAAGTTGACTTAAAATTCTTATCTTTGTTTAATATCATTTAAAATCTATTCAAATCTTTAATGAAAAAAAGTCATCCGTTTACAGTTGTTTTATAGTTTTTTCGGAATTATTAGCTTGTTTTGTTTTTCATTTGCTTCTTAGTATTTGTAAAATTCTTCAGGATTTGGTAATAAACAACAGATTTTAGAGCAAACACACGTCCAAATAACACATGTAGTTTAATTAGTTTTTCTTCCTATTTGTACATGTGATGAATATTAAACTCACCATACAAATTCTTGAGACCTCAAAGTGGCAAAACAAAAAGTGGCTTTTAATAAACCCACTTTCATAATGTATTAGTTACTTCCCAGAAGGGGCTTTATGGTTTTAGTTCTCAGTTTTCTCATTCGGTTAAATGTCACCAAAGGCACAAGGGAGAAGCCATAGCAACTAGCACCCACCTCCACCGGAAAAAATTTCTACACTTTCCCCGCCGACTAACCGATTTCCGATTTCCTTATTCCGTATTCCGTATTCTCGGACCAGGTCATAGACGACGTGTTCTCTCGTGAAAAGCGTCGGACGACAGTGAGTGTCGCCTCCACATCATCCAGCCATGACCAGCGGCAATCGATGATTGCCATTCCCTTAGCCATTAAGAGCCAGCGATAGAGGCAGCCGGAAAGGGAAAGGGAAAGTGAAAGGAAAGGGAAAGGAAAAGGGAAGGGAAGCCTTCAGCCCGCCATTCAAACACATCAATAGCCGGAGGCGATTCCCTCCCATTCGCCCCGTATTGAAAGCCAAGGACTAAAGTCACGCGGTCAACATGCTGATCAAGGAGTACCGCATTCCGCTGCCCCTCACCGTCGAGGAGTACCGCATCGCCCAGCTCTACATGATAGCGGTAAGTGGAAAGCCCCATCATTAAGACTACCTATACAAAACTAATATTAATAATGATAGAAATAAATTAAAAATAATATTAAAATAAATTAGTAAGCAGTTTCGCTAACTCAGTCTTTTAAAAAAATCCAAAACAATTACAATTACATTTATTTATAAATAGATTTATGAAAAAGATTTATTTAAATATATTTATAATCATTTATTGTTAGCATATTTAAATGAGTCTTTGACTCAAATTCAATTCTGTGAAATTTGTAATATATTTTCTATATTTTTCGTTTCTAGAACATTATAAACAAAATAAAAATTAGTTTAGAAGCAACCAATGTCTGGTTTTAGGTTTTTAAATTGTTTTTTTTTTTAATATTTCATACTTTTGAATTTTTATATATTTAGGTTACTCTGTTAATTTAAGTGAAAAGTTGATTTCGTTTGGTATATTCTCCAATTTTTATCTTTTACCAAATGAAAGGTAAAAAAAAATATTGAAAAGATTATTTTATCTGAATTTAAGGTATCAAATTTTAAGATCGATATCCTAGGTAATCAATAAATGTGATATTTTTTTCTTATTTTATTTTATATATTAAAATAAAAACAAATTCGGCCCCCGTTTCCTTTCATTCTGAAAATAGTTTGGAATTGGGAGTAATCTCGAATAGACAAAGTTATAACTAATCGATAATCAGTAATTAACAGTTGATGTAACATTTCAAAATGGAATTTCGTCTAATACAAACACGCTTAAAAATAATTCTTGCTATCAAGCAAAACTTTATAAAGCGAAATGTTTCCGGTGTGAAAGTTCAACAATTTTTAAATATAAACGTTGGTCGTCACAAAATTTACAATGCGTCTTGAATTGTTTACTCGCCTTTGTACGTTCGACTTATTTACAAATATTTGCCATAGTCAATATTTATTAAACGTTTTCCACGGAAATCTTCCCTCAATACGCCATAATAACATAGATGTGTAGTTTATTTGGGTGGACCATGATAATTTTGTAAAACTGTTCTCCCATCCACAGAAAAAGAGTCGCGAGGAGAGTCACGGCGAAGGCAGTGGCGTCGAAATAATCATCAATGAGCCATATAAAGACGGACCCGGCGGAAATGGCCAGTACACGAAGAAGATCTACCACGTGGGCAATCATTTGCCGGGCTGGATCAAGAGTGAGTTTAATATTACTGCCAATTTGTGTATTTCCTAAACCTATTTTATTTGAAAATATATTAAGGTCTCTTGCCAAAGAGCGCTTTAACCGTGGAGGAGGAGGCATGGAATGCCTATCCGTATACCAGGACACGCTACACCTGTCCATTTGTGGAGAAGTTCTCGCTGGACATTGAGACATACTATTATCCGGATAATGGCTACCAGGATAATGTCTTCCAGTTGTCCGGAAGCGATCTGCGTAACCGCATCGTGGGTGAGTTGGTACTTAAAGCAGTGAATAACATTTAATTTTAATCCACATTCTTAAAGGTTAATTAAATGTTTAAACAAATGATTTACAAGATCTCATACTATAATAACCACAAAGAATTTGTTTTCAATTTTTGTGCAATGTGAAAGCAGTTTTCTATATATGTAACTCATGCATTGAAGCATTTTATTTAAATATTTTAAAGTTAATGAACCTGTAATTTGTATTACGAATGGTACATCAATTTTCTGAAGGCAATTAAAACAGAATAACCATTGGTTATTATTTTATGTTGTGCGTTTTAAAACAGTGAATAACCTTTAATTTATAATCCACACTCCAAAAGATAAGTTAAATTTTAAAACAAGTCTTTTCTAAGTTCTTATACCTAAATAGCTACAGAGAATTTATTTTAAAGTTTTGTACAATGTGAAAACAATTTTCTATATCACTTATATATCGAACCATTTATTTAAATGTTTTAAAACGTATGTTATTACAGATAATATATCAATTGTCTGAAGTAATTTAAAACAGATTAACATGTGCTTATTATTTTAAGTTCTGTATTTTATTAAAGGAACTTAAAAATAAAGCCATTAGTGCTATTGGCAGATAATAAATTCGTTTTGTTTTATTAAGATAACTTAAATATAAGACCAGATCTGAAATTTAATGTCCTCATTCCTTGTTTCATCGATCTATTATAATATCCCAACTTGACTCGTCTTACAGATGTGATTGATATTGTGAAGGATCAGCTATGGGGCGGCGACTATGTGAAGGAGGAGGACCCAAAGCACTTTGTGTCGGACAAGACGGGCCGTGGTCCATTGGGCGAGGACTGGCTGGAGGAGTATTGGCGCGAGGTGAAGGGCAAGAAGCAGCCGACGGGGCGCAACATGTCCCTGATGACCGCCTACAAGATCTGTCGCGTGGAGTTCCGCTACTGGGGCATGCAGACGAAGCTGGAGAAGTTCATCCACGATGTGGCGCTGCGCAAGATGATGCTGCGTGCCCATCGGCAGGCGTGGGCGTGGCAGGACGAGTGGCACGGACTAACCATCGAGGATATCCGGGAGCTGGAGCGACAGACGCAGCTGGCCCTGGCCAAGAAGATGGGCGGCGGCGAGGAGTGCAGCGATGGTCAGTTCGATTTGGCCACATCCACCATCCTAGCATCCACTTCAACCTCACCAATCTCACCAATCTCACATACCCTTGCCAAATTGTAAACGTATTAATTTGCATGGGAATTAAACCCCTTAAACGTCATTTTCATTACCGAATCGAAGATACAAAAGACTCCAAATTATTAGAAATTAAAAAAAAATTCTTAAAAAGTGCCCATGAGGTTTAATACATAAAAGAAAATATGTATTATTGTTAGAAGTAACTATCTTTTTTATTATTTAAAGCTAAAAAAAATTCCAATAGTTATTTAAAAGTAGCACTTAGTTTTTTTTATGAAAAAAATTTATTTTTTTTTGTTGAAAGCAGCTCTTTTCAAGCCTGCTATCTTTAATATTAAATTGCATTTTGAAAAGCAGTACAAAATATAGGAACTAATAAATGCCATCGAGGTTTCACATCAAATAATTTGGTTTCTTAAAAGACAGTTTTTCAAGTGCTTATATTATAATTTTTGCAAAAGGATGATTTTAAAAATTAGTCAAATAATTATTGATGATAATATTAAATAGTTAATAGAACTAGGAACCAATCCAATACATTAAATCTCAAAAGAATTTGGTATATCATTCCTCTGTTTATCCATTTCCTTGTTATTTGTCCCTGTTAAACTGTATATTTCTCCATTGCAGATAGCGCTTCGGAGCCGTATGTGAGTACGGCGGCCACCGCCGCCTCCACGACGGGCAGCGAGCGGAAGAAGTCCGCTCCGGCCGTACCGCCCATTGTCACCCAGCAGCCGCCGAGCGCCGAGGCCAGTTCGGATGAGGAGGAGGGCGAGGAGGAGGAGGATGACGAGGACGAGAACGATGCCATTGGCACCGGCGTGGATCTGTCGGCCAACCAAAGCGGCTCCGCCCAAAGGTCACGCTCCCAGAGCATCCAGATGGCCCAGAAGGCCAAGTTCGGGTCGAAGGGCACCCTCCACTCGCCGGTGGGTTCGGCCCACAGCTTCGATCTTCAGGTGAGCCGGTCAGATCAAACCATAGGTGTCCTTTCCTCATTGTCCTCGGCGTCCTTTTTGCTCTTTCTCGATGTCGATTTTGTGTGTTTAGAAGGAATGTACATTGTTACAAGTTCTGTGTTTTTTTTTTTTAATTGAAGTATGATTCAAAGTGATCTATTACTTCTCAATACCCAAAATTATATTTGTCTGAGTTGTCAGAGAGTTTTTAAATGTGATTTAAAAACATTATTATTATCAACATTAAAATATTTAATTTAAACAGTATTCCTGAATATGAAAAACATAATATTATAATTTTAAAACGTTTTAAAAAATTTATATATTCAGTGCTTTAAGTGCTTAAGTGTTTATAAAAACTATGAGGGCAAATATTTTTCTAGGATTCGATGTTTTTTCTTCTTTATAGAAAATTTCAGTATTTACTAAAGCTCTGAACTTTTTTGAGTTTTTATGGTTTATAACTTATGGGGTTTTAATGACACTTTTAAAAAATTCTTCACCATTAACATAAACTATTTCGATCTTCAATTGCAATTAGTTTTCAATCTTTAATTTCGAAAATATATGTGTCTACCTTTATTCTATAATTCAATTTTTGATTATCTGTGTTTTGTGTGTGTTGCTTTGTCCCTAAAATGTACTGCGTCTTACCAAAATAATCTTTAATTTACCTTCCATCCAACACGATCTACCGCCAACAACTACAACACAACCGATTTCAACACCAAAAATTCAAATAAACTATAAAACAAAAAATGCACAATTTATTGCAAATCTAAACAAACACAAATACAAATACACCAAAAACCAAAAATAAAATCAGTCCAAAAAGCCGCATGCAAAAACAGCGCCTCGCAGACATGTAAGTTCCTCTTCCCCTCTCTGTCACTCTCCATCTGCCCTCTCTGTCGTTTTCAATATCAGCAAATTACCCAGCCTTTATTCCATCGTTTTATAAAGTAAAAATACATATATACTGTCCTTTAGTTAGTTGCTTAGTCGCAGGTCTTGATTAGTCAAGTTCTATTAGCTTAGCTTACGGCTGTCCCCCCTTCCCATCTATTAATAAGTTCAAGTTTTTTGTAGAACAAAATTGGAAAAATAATTAAACAATACTATTGTTTATGAATACATTGCACATATTAAATCAATTTATGTTCACCGCAGGTGGCAAACTGGCGAATGGAGCGATTGGAAGTGGACTCCAAATCCAACTCGGATGAAGAATTTTTCGATTGTTTGGGTAATTATTTTATTTTATGAACCTTAAGATTATAATAAAATAAATTATGATATGCAAATAAAGGCATAAAAGACTGCTATTCTTTATGACAATTAGGTCCCTGATGGGGACAACCTTTTGTAAAATTCTCTTTTGGAATTGTGAATTCGATCATAAGAGTAACATGTGTCTTTACTTAATTCAAGAACTGTCAAATCATAAAGAATTCGCGATCTTAGTGTGTCAGTTTCAGTACTTAAGGGCGCGAATTCTTTATGACAATTTGGTTCCTTATGGTCTTTGGTTATATAATTTGTTTAAATTCCCTTTGGAATTGTAAACTTAAGTCAAAATAGTTACTATGGCGTTTTATATGTTTTTAACCACACAAAACAGCGAATTCTTTAGGATTATTAAAATTTGTGTTTTAATAATTGTAAACCAAACTCATTTCCCAATTTTTTTTTCCAACAGACACCAATGAGACGAACTCGCTGGCCAAGTGGAGCTCTCTGGAGCTGCTGGGCGAGGGCGACGACAGTCCACCGCCACATGGCGGACCCTCGAGTGCGTCATCCGTTGGTGGGCGTGGCCAATCGCGGCAGGAGGACAGCATCTTCAATCAGGACTTCTTGATGCGCGTCGCCTCGGAACGTGGCAATAAACGGCAGCTGCGCTCCTCGGCCAGTGTGGATCGCAGCCATGACTCCTCGCCGCCAGGATCACCGAGCACACCGTCGTGCCCGACCACAATACTAATCCTGGTCGTCCATGCCGGCAGTGTTTTGGATGCGGCCAGCGAGCTGACGGCCAAGAAATCCGATGTGACCACATTTCGCGGCTCCTTCGAGGCGGTGATGCGCCAACACTATCCCAGCCTGCTCACCCATGTGACCATTAAGATGGTGCCGTGTCCCTCGATTTGCACCGACGCCCTGGGCATCCTGTCCAGCCTGAGTCCGTACTCCTTCGATGCCTCACCATCGGCGGCCGATATACCGAATATAGCGGATGTGCCCATAGGAGCCATACCGTTGCTGTCCGTTGCATCGCCGGAATTCCATGAGACGGTCAACAAGACGGTGGCCGCTGCCAATATTGTCTATCATGAGTTCTTGAAATCGGAGGAGGGTCACGGCTTCTCCGGCCAGATTGTGATGCTGGGCGATTCGATGGGTTCGCTGCTGGCCTACGAGGCGCTCTGCCGATCAAATGGCAGCCAGCCGGGCACCGCAACGGGTGTCTCGAATTCGGGCGGGGATGGCTGTGGCGGTGTGGCCAACACCACCGGTACGAATATCAATACCCACAATCCGTTGGCCGTACGCCATTCACGTTTGGACGACGACGAGCGCCTCTTCATCGAGGCCGATTTGGATGCCAAACGGCTGTTGGTGGCACCATCGCCACGGCGACGTCGTTCCAGCTCCTCGAGCGATTCGCGGGCCGCCAAGCTGGACTTTGAGGTCTGCGACTTCTTCATGTTCGGATCGCCGCTGTCGGTGGTCCTTGCCGCACGGAAACTACACGATGCCAAGGCCGCCCTGGCCAGGCCCAACTGCCACCAGGTGTACAATCTGTTCCATCCAACCGATCCGATCGCCTCGCGTCTGGAGCCGCTCCTCAGTGCACGATTCTCCATCCTGTCGCCGGTCAATGTCCCCCGGTACGCCAAGTATCCGCTGGGAAATGGTCAGCCATTGCATTTATGTGAGTATCAATAGGGGCTTTTTATTTCTATTTAACATATTTAAAATATATATATAACTTTTACCAGCTTTTGGACCACTGAATAAGAACATTTTTAAAAGGCCTTTGGATCTTACAAAGTCTTACTAAACATTGTTAACAGTGTCCATAAATATTTGTTGCTTAAGGTTTTTTTTAGAGATATACAATTTTTGTTTTTAGTTTTTGCAAGAGTATAAAGAGTTATAGTTGTAAAATGAACAAATAAAATGTACAGTCGTCATTTAAAAATTAAAAACTTAAGCAATGTTTATTTTTGGTTAATGCTTTTAATTTAGTCATATAATGTTAAAGTACATTTTATTTTAAAAATTTTTCATTTTTAATTTTAGAAAAATAATTTTATTTTACTCAAAAAACTATTATTTACGGCTTATGCTTTTAAATTAATTTAATAATGTTGAACTACTTTTTCGTTTTAAACTGTTTTTATAAAAATAAATATTTAATTTACTATAATGAGCTGGTAGAACTCTTTAACTCATAAACTTTCATTGGATGAATAATTATTCATTAGGATGAATAATAAAACTTGTGATATTACAAAAGTGCCATAGAAGAATTTAAAATTAAATTTGGTTTAGAAATTAAACTACGAATGATAGGCTCTATAATATTAAGTATTGAATCAATACTTTTATTTGATTTAAATTAATTTTTTATATAAACTACAAATTATGGGCCTTATAATAGTTAGTATTGAATAAATAATTAAATTTATAAGGGTCTATTAAATTTAAACAATGGTGTTTTTTGTTTATGTAGGTTTGTTTATAAGCCTTATTTTTGTATTGACTTTATGTGGGATTTAAAAATAAATTAAAATTTGATATTTAATTGAACTTTTCCCGCTTGTTATGTTTTCATCGTTTCCAGTGGAGGTGATTCAGTCGCATCCGCAGCACTTTAACGATGGCAACAACCTGTTGGCCGGCCGCCGATTGTCAGATGCCTCGATGCAGAGCACGATATCGGGTCTGATTGAGAATGTGTCGCTTAGTACGATCCATGCCCGTAAGAAGCTCATTGCCCGCTAGATGATCTAGTGCATGAAACTACATACATATAACATAATTCCCAAATAATATCCAAATTGAATAAAAAAAAAAATGTTTGCTATTCATTTGCAGTTCAGAACAAATGGTGGGGATCGAAGCGGCTGGACTACGCATTGTACTGCCCGGAGGGATTGAGTAACTTTCCGGCCCACGCCTTGCCGCACCTTTTCCATGCCAGCTACTGGGAGAGTCCCGATGTGATCGCCTTCATCCTGCGCCAGATTGGCAAATTCGAGGGCATACCCTTTGTGGGCTCCAACGATGACAAAGACAATGCCTCCTTTCATCCGGGACAGCCGCGCGAGAAGTGGATCAAGAAGCGCACCTCGGTGAAACTGAAAAATGTGGCCGCCAATCATCGGGCCAACGATGTGATCGTCCAGGAGGGCAAAGAGCAGCGGTTGAATGCCCGCTTCATGTACGGACCGCTGGACATGATCACGCTGCATGGCGAGAAGGTCGATGTGCACATCATGAAGGATCCGCCGGCGGGTGAATGGACATTCCTCAGCACCGAGGTGACGGACAAAAACGGTCGCATCTCGTACAGTATACCGGATCAGGTGTCCCTCGGCTATGGCATCTATCCCGTTAAGATGGTGGTGCGCGGCGATCACACCTCGGTGGATTGCTATATGGCGGTGGTGCCGCCGTTAACCGAATGCGTGGTCTTTAGCATCGATGGCTCCTTCACCGCCTCGATGTCGGTGACCGGTCGCGATCCAAAAGTGCGGGCGGGGGCCGTCGATGTCTGCCGGCACTGGCAGGAGCTGGGCTACCTGCTCATCTACATCACCGGGCGGCCGGATATGCAGCAGCAGCGTGTCGTTTCCTGGCTGAGCCAGCACAACTTCCCGCACGGCCTCATCTCGTTCGCCGACGGCCTGTCCACCGATCCGCTGGGCCACAAGACGGCCTATCTGAACAATCTGGTGCAGAACCACGGAATCTCAATCACCGCCGCCTACGGCAGCAGCAAGGACATCAGCGTCTACACGAATGTGGGCATGCGAACCGATCAGATCTTCATCGTGGGCAAGGTAAGCGGCTTTCTTACTTCGTATATATCATTTTTTTTTTATCAGTCAAACGAGGGCTTTTCATTTTTATTGTAATCTTCATCGCTTCTTGTAAAATACAATAGGATTTAAAATGCAGAACACGTGCATTGCCTCATATCATTATTTGAGTGACCGCTGAAAGGCTGCCGCTGCATCGTTTACAGCCGATACATATATAATTATTATGCATTTAAAGTTTATGTATGATTAAATTACATGAAATTACATGTTAAATGTTAGAATGCAGAATTCGTGATTTACTGACGATTTTTTCTTTTGTTTTGTTATAAATTTCAAAAAATTGTAAAATAAATATGTGAGTTAATAAAAATATTTATAAATATAACTATGTATAAAAGTGCTTCGATTTAAGTGACTGCTGAAAGGCTGCCACTGTATCGTTTACAACCAGCTTTCGTGAGCGATATTTTTGACTAGTTGCTAGTTAACCAAAGTATTTTTGCAAAATATTAAAATTAATTAATAGTAACTAAACTATATAATGTTAATTCATGTTTAAATAATAAGAAGCTTCGTTAAAGCTTAGTTAGTTAAAGTATATTATGGGTGCAATTAAACTGACTGCTGCATCGTTTACAACCAACTTAAGTGAGTTTTTAAGCAATTGTTCCCTTTCTTTTGCAGGTGGGCAAGAAGCTGCAGTCCAATGCCACCGTGCTGAGCGACGGCTATGCCGCCCACTTGGCCGGATTGCAGGCGGTGGGCGGATCGCGACCGGCGAAGGGCAATGCCCGCATGGTCATCCCCCGTGGATGCTTCAATCTTCCCGGCCAGACGGCCAATCCGCGACGCAGAAGGTAAGACGCTGATGCCACTGGCTGGCGCTGCTTGCGACGATCCACTGTACAGAGCGCACCCACTGTAACGCCCGATCCTCGCTGTATATATCCGTACATATCCGTATCTGTATCTGTATCTGTATCTGTGTTTGTGTTTAGTGTAAATAGGCCAACGCATTCGTGTATGTTAATGTTATATGTTTTGTGCACAGTGCAATGCCTTTAGCTGGTTCAAAGTTTGAGGCCAACACCAAATGTAGGTTTATTCATAGCTTTCCTACCAAAGGTTGCATTTGTCATCAGATTATGGCAAAAAATCGTATTTTTTAAATGGATTTTACCTATACTCTACTACAGGAACAAAACAGGGATTAGTTTTTTTTCTAACTTACAAGTTTACAAAGACAAGGTTTATTCCATAAACCGAAGTGAAAAACTAGAAGTCATAGTTGGTTATAAATTTATATAACTCAACTGTTTTTGATAACTTTACTTTACAATTTACAAAAATAGCTTTATAGTCTGTCTTGCAAATACCCATTTGTACACAGAAAATAATTTCTATAGCTTTGTAATCAATGTCCAATTTAATATAATTATCATTGCTTTATGTGTTACAATTTTAGAACAATTGAAATATTTGTTCCCCTAAAGTTCACTATAAAACATGGTTCATGATGGTCTTGAAAATAATAAAACACATTAAGTAGGTAACATGATGCATTAAACAAAATTAACACGGATTAACAATTACTACTTCAAGTAACTACTATTATTAAGCTCTCAAAAAAGTAATTGACACAGCTAAAGGTATTATACATGTATTTCATTGAAAACCGTTTTGTTGGTGTATTACATACTTTGTGTGGCTTTCTGTTTCTGTTTATGTTTATGTTTTCGTTTTGGGTCGCATGGCCGTTTAATTTGTCAGCCAGAATTTTGTTGCTTTGCCATCGGGACGATGCAATGATATAACCAATCCATTCGTCCATCCCACTAAACGTTGTTGTGTGCGCCTTCTTCGAGCGGGCGGAAAATTCCCGCTCGGAATGAGAAATCCAAATAAATCTTGCCAAATATCGAACCTCCAGTTCGACCATCCACCTAATCATGCCACCTTTTCCCTTGCCAATCCTGCGCAGCAACGCTTTCGAGCTGCAATTGGCCAACATCAGTCCCTGCAGCAGCAACATCAACAGTCCCGGCAGCAGCAACCACATCCTACTGGCCCAACTGATTGAGAATGCCATTGAGAAGGACACTCCGGCTGCCTAGGAAAATTAGATATTTTAATTTCTGCTTTAGTTAATCAACAGAGTAAAACAAATTGATAGAAGCAATCTCTATGTTCCATCCATCCTCTCAAAACTAGTCCGCCACGAATCGTATTGTATTTCTTAGTTTACAACTTTAAGTTTCACGTAGAACAAATGCCGTATTATTTATGCTATAAGTTTATACTATTATGTTTATGATTATGATTGTTATTATATTTGCATTCATGTACTATCCTTATTTGTATTTGTATGATATTATTTTGATTGCGAACAAAAGCCAAAATGCAACAAAACATAAAAACTACGTACGCCAGTATGTAAATCTAAATAAACAAAAAGCAGTACAGTAATGGGCCTGTTGGTAATATATATATATCTATATAGTATACATATATATGATTTATAATGTTTCGATTACGATTTGTGTCTTTTCTTTGTTTGTTTCTTGATTTACGGATGACAAATACCAAAAAAAAAAATTATATATATATAATAATACAATATACAAAAAAAAAACGCTTAACGCTTTACGGCCTCGAAACCCACCACGCTGTTCAAAACCCACCACGCCGAAAAATACACCTCATACAATATACACCATATCAGGCTGCATGAACAAGCAACGAATGAAAATTGAATTGCAACCTAAACAAACAACAATAAATTGTTTAGATCAATTAAACAACAATAAAAGCATCTTGTAAACAGATAGAAGCAAAAAAAAAAAAATAATACAAAAACTATGCAGACAATTGGTGTTAGTTTTAGTGTTATAGAATATGCCCTATACTCCCCACACATTTTATGAGTTCTCTTGTTAAGTATTTTGAAGCATACCTAGCTGAGCATTTTATTGATTGATTGGTGTTGTGAAGAAAAACCAAAAAACCAAAGATTATATAAACCAATGAAAATACCACCAATATTGGAGGTGAGGAAAAGTCGATGGAAATCGATGGTTTAAATGCCTCCACCTCTAAACCGCACTTAGAGTGAAACGAATTTGAACACTTTTTTTTTAAACAATAACTCTATCTCTCTTTTTCCAAAAACCAAAATTTGCTTGAAAAAAAAAACTTGCAAAACGAACAAAACACCCACACACACACATACCTCACACGCACACACTGCCATCGAACTTGGTATCGATAAACAAACAGCAACGAGACGGGACTTTCATCACCCATACGCAGTGGTTACCTGAAGCGCAAGACCTACCTAAGCCACCACTAGAGCAACAGAGACGCAGCTATATAGATTGATCCATCAGTCAACAACACAAATTAAATCCCCCGAACCCAGATAGTAATCCCTTCGAAATAGAATGAAGTATATAGCCAAAGGACAACAACTCCGATGCCTCCATATGCCACATCCGTGTACATACCATATAATTATATATTTATATACTATGCGCGATATATATTGAAAATTCAATGGTGTAATATATATATCGAAAACCAAATTTGCAAATGAGAAAAAACAATTGTACAACATTTAACCAAAGTCAAATGTGTCACGCGGTGAGTATGCATATATAGCACAAAATATATAATCAATATTTACAAAATTTAAATAGATTTAAAGGAATTATTTTACCAAATCTAAAGAAAATAGGAAAAATAGATAGAACAATATTACTCTCAATGGTGCCACAGAAATCTCTAGTACCTTTAAATCATTTTTTAAAAAGGCGTTCAAAAGTATGCAATAATTCTTCAATTCTCAATGTTCAATGCCAAAAACCTAAATTCAGTTTATGCTGCATACTTTTGAGCACCGCTTTAAAATATAAAACAATGATGGAGACTTCTACGGCATAAATGCTTACTCACAATCTTCTCCCCAAGTTCTTGTTAAAAATGTATTTGAATCAACATTTTTCACTTTCACTTTTTTCCCTTTAGGTACCTGGAAAGAAAGACTGTTTCCTCCTGTTGTTTGATGGTTTTTCAAACCACTTAAAGCATTGAAAACTACACGAAACAAAAGCCGATCGTAAAGCTATCTACCAAATACAATTATGAAAAGATATATACAAGGATATATTCAAAATATAGAACCGTTTAACATATGCAAGCGAACAAAGTTCAACAAACCAAGTGCGGCATAACACCTGAAGGACAAACTAATGAAACCGAAGATCTCCCAATGAATTAAGATGAAAACTAAGACAAGGACGACGTGCGAGGAAAGCGTTGCAAAATCAAAAGGCAAATTAAATGCATTTCTTGACAAACAACCACTACAAACTCTTACAAAAAGTATAACTTAACGGCTTCCGTAAAACCAAACAATTTAAACCTTAAAATAGATAACTATATTTGTGCGTGTAAAATTTATGAAAAAGGAAACGTCATGAAAATGAATACAATCTCTTACCTGGCCCCAGAAATTTAAAATCTCCATAATTGTGATAGTCTTTCGCTACCAAAAGTTAATTTAAAAAAGAAACCAGAAAAAAAAATATATATATATATCTACAAAATTTGTTATTTGGCAAAAAAAAAAACTGTCGAGAAAAGTTAAAAGAAGTTAAAATTATAGAAACTATTGGATATTGTGTAAACGTAAAACCCGATTATGTGATACCAAAACCAAAAACCGAAACCAAAGTTGAGTTCGAGATGAGATCAAGCCGAAAATTTCTCGTGCTAGAAACCTAAACAAACAACTCATGGCGACCTGAAAAGATGCAACGGGCATTGAATCTGACCCATAAAGTACTTTATATATATATATATATATATAAACACCAATATGTCTGCTTAACCCAGTTACATACATATATGTGCTGTCCACACAAGTTAACTAAAAACACTCACTCAACTTGTGAACCTAAAGAAATCTGAGATGAGGGTACAAAAAGGGAACTTTAAGAGATCGAAATACACGATATATATGTTTGATCTGATTAGGTCGGACTACTTAAGCCAAAATTGGTTAACTGTCGAGTAGTTCAAGATGATCGAACGTAAGACACTTCCTATAAATTGAATAGTAAACGCAAATTGAAGAGTTTAAACCGATAGTTGTAAAGAGAACAGAGTAATTGTATGTAAGGATATAACCTAGACCACATACTGTATATTTATCTAGCGCAACTACATTAAGGACTTTTGGAGCAGCTAGTGAAACTGCAAAAGTGTTCCGATCAAAATATTGTCCGGCTATACGTTCCTCTCTCCTCCACTTAAGTCGACTTTTAACTCTCCTTAATTTTTGTGTAGCGAGTATCAAACTTAAAACTGATGGAAGAAAGTCTACTAGATTGTAAGATGAATCTCTCTACCCATGAAGAGTTTATCCTATTTTTTAGTACATAGCCAGTTGGTTCAAAAGCATGAGGTATAAAAGTTAAAGGCATGTCCTAGTAAATAATAACACCAGATACTCATAGAGTCGAAGGGTTGATGTCTGTCTATTTAGCAGGTAAATAAGTTTTCCATATATGTCCTTTTCTTCTATGCCGATTTCCTTTCAAACGGTAGATTTTTTCGTACCTGAACAAATTTCTCAAAATTAGCAAATTCTCAAATAGCAAATTGTAGCTTCTTTTTTATAATTTTAAACTATTAAAATCTTTCGATTGAAAGAATGGAATTATTTTGGAGCGTTCCTTATTATTTTATTACAGTGCACTTTTATATAAATATATTTCACACCAAAAAAAAATTAATTTTTGGGAAACACGTTTAAAATTGCACACAATGGCAAATAAGCGATTGTTCTCTGTTCTTCCAAAATTTAATATCGATTGGTGAATCGTAGAATTGAGTGGGTTGTAGAATTCTACGTTCAATATCTCAACTTTCCGCCAGAATAAGAACTCCCTAAGCCAATAAAGCGTTTAGCAAAATTGTGTTGATATTTTGAGAACCCACCATTTAGATGATAAGCTAATGCCCTCAACACACGCGATGATGATGTCTAATGCCGAGAATTTAAACAAAGAACAACAAATTTCAAACATTGAAATGGTTTAACACACTACATGCAATTGTTACGTACATAAGTAAATATATGTCCGTTGGGTTATGTATTTTAATTGTTAAGTGCAAAAGTCCAGGAATAACAAATACGAATTCAGAATGTAAACAATTATAAAGAGAACGAGGCGAACTAAAAATGTAATTATTTATTGACAACAAAATCTACAAGCAGATGAAGAACAAAAAACGCGGAGCAAGCCAAATGCAATCTATTTACAAAATCCTAAACAAAAATAAGTTCAAGCAAGCAACAATGAATGACAAACCGAGGAATTAAAGATAGTTGATCCAAGGGAAATGAATATATATATATACATATATAATATATACATACCCAAAAACAAGAGATTTTTAAGCCAATGATTGAAATTGGACTATGACAAATAACAAAATAAAATATGGCAGTAACAAATATTTTTCGATGTAAGCTGTTTGTTAGAAAAAGATCGAGTTTCAGCGAATGATATGGCTAAACCAGTTATTAATTTCACAGAAAAATCGAAAATAAAGCGGTTCATGAAAAGATAAAAAAAAAAAAAAAAAAAAACAAATGTTCTATTTGATGTTGCAAATGAGAAAAATAAATAAAACATGCTATGTGAATAAGTGATTTGTGTATTGAATTAATGGGTGGCGAAATGGTTACCAGGCATATGCTATTGAAAATTGTGGGCAGCTCAAAAGCTGGAAATGGACTTCACTAAAAAAAATTAATAGAACAGGTTTTGGGGTCAAGAAACTACTTTTTATTTCAGATCTATCAAAACATTTCCCTGATTCACAAAAATTGCCCCAGATGACAAACTGTACTCATTGTTTGATTAATCAAATGGGATGCTAATCATATTTCCACTGAACAGCTAGCAAACTCAATGTTGTCTGAATTCTGATAAATAGAATGCTCTTGGATGATTGGCAGCTAATCTATATATTTATATAGTATAGACAGGCGAATGGATCAGCTCACATATTTACTAGTATCACAAGCAGAACAAAACACTACAGATTAACTTCTTCATCTCGAACTTGGCAATTAAAATTAAGTGACAACAGCTTTTTATTATAATAATAAAAAAAAAAACCCCTGGTTGTTATTTCACGCCAATTGCAAAATATTTGTATTGTTTATAATGCTTTAATTTTTTTTTAATAGAATCACTTATTATTAAATTTTTTTAAAATAAAAAGTTTAAAATCAATGTCCCTACTAAAACAAAAATTGCTACACTATATTACAAATTTAAGTAATTAAGTTAATCTTTTTCCAATCTTTAGCATTTTACAAAACCTCTATCTTCTAACTTTTGATTTGCATTAGCTTTTGAGTTAAAGAAGTAACACTGTACAGAGTTCAGTAAGCCGACGATCAGTTCCATACATATATATCATATACAATACTTTATTATCAATCAGGTTTAATTGTTTACATTAACTACAAACGTCATTTACGATTTGGAATGGAAATAAAAAGGGGGCGATAGAAAATAGAGGGTTGATATCAGCGTATAGCCGGAATACACATACACATCTACACTTTGGGCAGACCAGCCGAAATGGAGCTCTCGATGCCGCAGTGATCCTGGCCACGCAGGATGCGGAAGAAGCCATGATCGCCCCAGTCGGTGTTCCACGAGTTGCCAATGAGCCAGTATGGGATCTTCTCGTCGCCATACACGCCCCAGCCCAGAATGCGGATGGCATGACCGCCCAGCTCCTTGCCATGAGCATGCTGATAGACGCCCTCCTTGTACAGAATGAGATCCTCATAGACGGTGAACGCCCCCTCAACCGGTCCGTTGGTCATGATCTCCTCCTGGATATCGCGCACATTGCGGCGCACCGAGTATGACTTGGAGCCAAAGTGCTTGTCCTTGGCGTAATCCACCGTGTAGCTGCTCTGGCACACATGCTGGCACTTGGGCGTTCCACCGCCCGGGGAGCACGGCGGTCGGGTTCCATTCACGTGGTGCTCACACGGCGAAATCTCGTAAGGACGGCAGCCCTGCAATGAAAAATGTATATTAGACATAAAGTCATAATGCAAAAATCTCTCTAAAAGAAAATACTTTCTTTCTTATGAGTATATTTCACTTTCAAAGTTCATTTTTTTTTTATTATTTCCAGATCTTGCTGTTAATACTCTCTAATGCATATTTATTTAAAAGCCCTTATCTTTAAAAATAAGTATTTGTCCCTTACGACGATGTCTCTGCTTTTTGCAGCTATCAGCAAATTCCCTATACTGCATTTACTAGAATGTCTGCCAATAAAAACTCCTAAACTGAGAGATAACTTCGGCATGTAAACAAAGAAAGTTTATTATGTTGTAATGTATAAATAAAGCTAAAGAAACTAGTTGAAAGTAATCCTAGTTTGTGGTATGATAAATTATTGAGAAATATTTGAAAGAAAACATTCAAAGATTCATTGCAAATTGGAGTGCATCCAAAAAAATTATAGCCATGGGTATATATTAAAATATGTACATATATAGAGATAAATGTCAAGCCGTTTTCCAGCGATATCTTTAGTATAAAAGTGCTATATGGCGTCGTAAACACCGTTCCTAACTTCTAGTAAACAAAGAACCTACTAAAGTTGCTCTAAAACCATTTTTGTGTAACAATTCCTCAAAGAAAAATGTTGCTTAAAAGGCCCTCTAAACAAATTTAGCCTTGTGATTGAAAATAAAATGAAATTGAAAAGAAAATACCTATTATATTATATTTTCCAACGCTAATTTATACGAGGTTGTCGAAAAAAAAATTTCAAATCTTTCAACGAATTTATTCTAAAATCTAAGCAAACTTTACAAGATAATGTAATACCTACTGAGTTTTAAGGTGTTTTCTTAAAACAACTGGCTCGAAATTCAAAATTCGAAGAAATAATTGTTTTGCAGTGGTTAGTTAATTGTTACCCTTATTTTTTTTTATCAGATAATAATGAAATGATATTAAGTAAAGATTTCAAAACTGAGAAATACAGTAAAAAAAAAAGTCTGCAAAGAAAACTTTTCAAAACGTTTTTTTTTCTAAAATGGTCGAAACATTTTCAAGAAGTTTGAAAAAAGGGTTCTGCATTTGTTTTCTATTTAGTTCTAAGCCTGCTAAGGGGATACTAATGAACATAAGTACATAAGGACTCCACCAACCTGGTTGGATCCGTAGGGTCCGCCGCTGACGATGCCTTTGCGCGTCCAGTAGCTCCAGGCGGCGCCTGGGAAACCGCCGTTGCAGCCAAAGCCGCAGGTGTGGCAGCAGGACACCAGATCATCGGCCGAGAAGTGGAAGTTCAACTTGCCGCCGGAATGGATGCACACCTGCATTGCGAAATCGATTGGAGAAATCGGTGAGAAATCAGCAGGTTAAACAAAGAGAAGGTGGGTCATCGTAGTGCCCACAATATCGATAAGATAAGCAATATGTATTTGTAGGCTTAACAGTGTACGTACCCGATCGGACATGGCTTCCACGGCGCCGAAGGCCCAGCAGGAGCCGCAGGATCCCTGGTCGCGAATCTCACCAATTGTGGGGCAGTTTGGCCACGCCGTCCGCGAATCGAACTCCTCCGGAATATCACCTTCAATTCCCTGGTACAAGTTGCCCAAAACCTTTCGCTTTTCGGGCAATGCGAACTTGTGCGCATCCGGATGGACGCCCATCAGGCGACGAATGTGATCCTCCGTTACGGATTTATCGAAATTACGTCCCACCTGGCGGAAAGAGTACGGAAAATGCAATTTTCTTGTCACGTCAGCAGGGAAAACAAAGGAAAACAAAGGAGAAGTTGCCGCTTACCTGCCAGGTTTTTGCCTTGCTGCGCACCACCTCGATGAACTCATCGGAGAGCAGCGATGGCTCACTGGAGGACAGGGCCACCACGGAGCACGCGGTGGCCACCAGGAGCAAAAGTTTCATTTTCTTCGCTCTGCAAATACCCAACGGCGCTGACACAGCAAAATACAACAGTTCACAAATCACAAATCACTTGAATAAATTGGGGGAAATGACGCGTCGGATATTCTGCGTTCTCTGTTCCGTTGTTGTTTTTGAACTGCCAGTGAAAAACGGACGGAGAACGCTCTTTATGCCTCTATGTTCTCTTGTTTTTGTTCTGTTCTGTTCGGGAAAAAAATGGTTGGCGCCCGTTGATTACGCGGCCAGTGTGTGCACACCGATGCGAGGAAAGTATCGCCTATCGAAAGTAGAGATGCGCGCGTGATCGGTAATGGGGCAAGCAAATTTCAGTTTTTTTTCCCACAAATTAATATATTGTTCAAACGAGAAAATTTCAAAGAGAATTAATAAAGATTATTTATATTTTGAATCTAATTGTAAAAACATTTTTTTATTTTCTTTTCTAAAATATATAGTATAATATTTATTAAAATCTATTATTCGAAATTTGGAGTTCAAAAATATTGGAACCAGAACCAGAGCTACAAACGAACTAGGGATACGAACTGCTGTAAACAAGAACTATCGATAGCAGTTTATTCACAATGGAAGATAACAGAGCTCTGTCAACACAGTCAGGGTGTGGTCACACTGACCGGCAATATTTTGATCAAGAAATCGCAAAGATGCGGATATTCTACGGAGTTGTTGCGTTCCTGGTGGCCACCAACCATCAATCCGCCCAGGCTATTCAGGCGCGGAGCGACAAGGAGCAGCCGCAGACGGTGGTTTCCGGCACGGCAGTGCAGTCGGTGGTGCCCGTGCAGGCGCAACTTGGCTCCGGAATGGGACCCTCATCCTCGTCGTCATCATCCTCCGGTTCCGGCGGCGGAGCTGCAAACTCGGCCTTTTACCCGTTGGGACCGAACGTCATGTGCTCGTTCCTGCCGCGCGACTTTCTGGACTGCAAGGATCCCGTTGATCACCGGGAGAATGCCACCGCACAGCGGGAAAAGGATCACGGCTGCCTCAAGTTCGGAGGATCCACCTACGAGGAGGTGGAGCACGCCAAGGTGGTGTGCACCGTGTTCGCGGACATCGATTGCTACGGCAATCGCACCTTCCTGCGCGATGGAGTGCCCTGTGTCCGCTACACGGATCACTACTTCGTGACCACCCTGATCTACAGCATGCTCCTCGGATTCCTCGGCATGGATCGCTTCTGCCTGGGACAAACGGGCACCGCCGTCGGCAAACTGCTCACCATGGGCGGCGTGGGCGTCTGGTGGATCATCGACGTCATCCTGCTGATCACCAATAACCTGCTGCCGGAGGACGGCAGCAATTGGAACCCCTATGTCTAGACGTGTGATATGCTTGTGTCCTCTAGCTTTAAGTAGTTCAGTAAGCTCGTTAAGTAAACCACGCCAAATTCTGCATAATTTAATCTTACTTTTAATGTTTTCATTAGAAGGAATGGGCAATTGCACGGCCTTACTTTGCCAAGAATAATTGCCTTTAAAACTTGTTCATCTTCAGACCACTTTTAGGAGTTTCAAAATATATTTATAAGTTCCCATGGAAACGAGCACACAGGACTAAAATTATCATATAACTTCCATAGAAGAATTCTGCGCTTAATGTTAACTAAAAGCCATTTCTCTTAGAAATAACGAAATTTAGTTTATTTATCTCAATTGTCTTTAAGGAAGTCGAATATATAGAAGTCCAAGATGCTTAAACTTGAGCCGCGATCACATCAAATTACACGTTCTTTTTTAAACCAAAAAAGGACCAGACAGATGTACCATATAATCAACCAATTTTGATAAGATTAAAAAGCGTAAGTTGTTAAAAAATAGCAAAAAAAGATAAATAGAGTGAGGTAAATCGTTAAAAACAAGGTAAGCTTAGCTGACCGATCCTTTTATCACGCTTTCCCACAAGGAAACAAATTAAACAAATTTTTTTCCCATTTACAACTGTTTTGAATTGAGCGCCAAGTTACAGCTCCATCTCCAGTGAAGACATTGCATTTTATACAAATTATATGGCTGCCACACCGTTCCCTACTTTCAACATTACTATAAGCGTTTTATTTTTCAAAACCCAACAAACTATTGTAATTGTATTAAACTATTGTATTGTATACTATTGTATTGCTTGTAAACTATTATCCGCGCTTTAAAAAAAGTAGTAAGGCAACAAATAAACAAATAAAAAGACTTATTATTACTAGAACTATTTCTTCATTAACGTTAACTCCAAATCATTGGGAAGTTAAAATGCAGCAAAATACTGATGAACTTACACTTATTTGACCAGTAGTGATATTGGATTTTCCCCGCAAGTCTGCCGGATGCTGTCCCCTGAAACCAATTTGCCTTTCGGTTTCATTGTTAAAACAATTGTGCACCTTCCCCAGCATACAAAAGTCAATTTTTAATTTCTTCGTCGTTTTGCGTTTTACGCCAATCCCCCAATCTATTCACTAGTGGAGACATTGTATTATCCCCGCTTATAGACTACTTTTGCCCCCCACTTGGTCACACTGGCAGTCGGCGTTACGCCGCAGCGCTGCCTGCGTCGCTGCCGCCGCAAAAAGCTGCCCTCGAAACGAAAGAAATTCAACCCATAAAGTCAATTGCCAAAAAGCTCGCCTCGCGCGCGGTCGACGTTAGAGTGGCTGAGCGGACGCTTTCTCTTTACTCTGTTACCTTTCTCCATTACCATTGACGACGCCGCGTGCGCGTCTCCCGCAAGAAACAACAACAACAGCGAGAAGGAGCCGCAGATTGCACGGTGCATAAATAAAACAAACGAAAATATATTGTGCAGCGAGAATTTATGCATACAACAAACGATAAAAAACCGAAGACGAGTGATGACAGTCGAAAGAAATAGTAATACTACTTAAATTGCGGCACAAGAACGTAAACAAAATCGTGTGTAAATTCAATGGGAAAAGAAGTACAAGAACAAGAACAACATGGGGACGCCGACGTCGACAGCGACGCCGGCAGAGACGTCGAGACATTTCGAATTTCTTTGGATGCTGATGGACTAACGGTGCTTTAGTGGTTGTTCCTTCTATGTACAGTGTGTGTGCGTGTCTGTTGGTGTGTGTAAATTGGAAAAACAGCAAAAACTGAATGGTAAATAAGTGTAAACAGAAAGGCGAATAAGAAAAAGAAGAAGGGAGAGAAAGAAAGAAAGAGCGAAAGAGAGCCAGTAGCGATTTCCATTTATTGATCCGCTCGCACACCTGAATCCCCTTTTCCTTTAGCATCATCGCCTTAATACTTAATCCGTTCGAGCGGGATTAAGGCTACTGCCATCGCCGCTGCGACTTTCACGCCCACGCAGCGTCGACGGAGCAGCGCCCGCATTACCGGTCGCCGGTAAATAACCGCCAAGGCCGTCGGCGCTACACAGAAAGAAAAAAACGGCGACCCACTTCACTGAAGTTAAACTTAATAGGAAAATTTAAGTGGACCTCAAATAAAAAAAAACCAAAAATTTCATTGGCCAGCAAAGTATTTTGGAATCCAGGTCTTTGTAAGCAGTTTTAAAAAATGTTAAATCCATAAAGCTTAACATATAAAGTTTAAAAATAGAAATTTTATAACAGAATTTCATTGAACAGCAGTGGGATTCGCACCCAAGCTTTTGATTTATCAGCGCTTACAAATGTACAAATGAACAAATGTAGAATTCATCTTAGGAATTATTAAAAATTATTTTAAAAATTTGTATATTCAGGTTAATTTTTTTTCTGTGTGCATAATTGCTTCAGTTTTGCTGCAGCAGTGTGAAAGTTCAGCCTCATTAAGTGCAGCTGCCTAACGGTACGCGTCAGCCGGTATTCGATACCCCGATACTCGGTACTCGGCTACCGTAGCACGAAGATGATGTAAGCGAGATAAAGAGCAGCCAGTATATTCCTAATTAGCAGCATCCTGAACAGGAGTGTCCCACATTCAATGCAAACTTTAAAATCTCAGAAAAGTCTTTTTTAAGTTTTAAAGTAATTTTCTTTTTAATTTATTGATTAATGCAAACTATGGCAATTTTTGAAGCTCTAAAAAGAAGATTAGATTTTTGTTACCAGAGGGTAAAGAAACTGAATTAATTCTGCGAGTAATACAAGGGAACCGAGCTTTTATGGGGACATTAAATGTTGAATAAAAAATGGTCTTATATAGGGCCATAAAGTCACTGTGGACTGAAGTGGAAGCCCATTTGCAGTGACAGTTGCGCTTTATTTCCTTAAAAAGTGCTTAAATCCAAAGTGGCTAGATGACAGATTTCCCGCTTGGTGAATATCTTAACCCTTGATTAACCTAAATAAATTAGATAACATTGCCTAGTTTAATTCAAAAAATATAAAACTAATTTTTTTTTTTAAGGTAAAATAAAAAAAGGAAAAGGAAAGAAAATGTAATTTAAAAAAGTAAGTCTATCTAGGGTTAAGCGAAGCACATACTTATGAACGTGAGCTTCAGGTCATGTTTAAGGTCTTATCCGGCCTATAAATAGCCAGCAAACAGCTAATTTAACGATACTGCGGAAATATAAAAGATCAAATTCTTGGCAATTTAGTAGCTCTCACTCTCTCTTTCTACCTATCTATCTATCTGTCTATCTCCATCTCATTTGCCTTTCGCGGGCGAGAAAGTGTTAAGAGAAAACAACAACAAACAATATTGTTAATGAAGCCAACCGTAAAACGTTTTTTTTTCCTCAATTTTTTTCATGTTCGGAATTTTTGTTTAAAAGTGCAACATAAGCAAAGCAGCGTGAAGTAAAAACCATAAAATATATAACAAGAAGCCGTGAATCGGAGAAAAGCGTTAACCGAAGCCAAGAAAAATTAAAACCAACCGAAAACCAACATCAAAAGTTGCCAACTTTTTGTTCGACCGCAGCAGCCGAAGAAGCAGCGGCGTCAGCAGCGACGCCCGCCTGCAGCCAGCGTCGCGCTGGCAACAACAAATTGCGGTATGAATTTTCTGCACAATTTTTTGTACTCTAACGAAGAAAAAATATATTATGAAACCCTATACAATTTTGCACAGAAAACTATTTTTTAAAGCAATTTGAGGAGCTCAAAATTTTGAAACCTTTTTAAAATTTTACACTAAGCAATTTCAAAAAAATTAAAAATCCAAATTAGTTTTAATGGCTTTTCATATTTTTTCAAAAGTAATTTTAAGTTTTCTTACTTTCAAATCTATCTAGTTAATATAAAACCATTTTTTTTTAAACTTTTGACAAAAATTAAGTTGTGTTACTTGTTTTTTAGCATTAGCATTAACTAATATCACGATTGTAATTATAATATTTTATAATTGTTAAAACTAAAATTTTTGATAGTTTTGGCTTATGAAATATTTATTAAGTTAAAATATGGTGATAAAATGACTCCATTATTTGGTGTCTTCAAAACCTTGAGACCTTTTGCATTTTTAAAAACTATTTTCGAAATATGTGTTAATATGAATACTACTGAGTTGTCTCAGAATGTCAGGTATATTTTTCTCTGTATATGCACTTATCTGAAACACACTCATCTATATATATTTACTCTTGTTCCTCCATTCTGTCTCACACATACACTGCTGATTTTACTGTTTAATTTGTAATTTTGCCAAATTGTAGACACAGCATAATAAACACACAAAAAGAAACGAAACTAGAAATGTAGTTCACAGTTTGACAGCTGAAGGGGATGGGGTGAACCTCATTTGAGATTATTCACTTTAATCTATTATATAATGAAAAGAAAAAGACGCCGATTAGCCTAATTAATTGTAAGGGATGGTGAGCATATGAAAAAATTTTAGTAGGAAATAAATCACAGCAGTTTGATAAAATTTAATTTATCTAAAACCCAGTTTAAGATAATTAAATTAAATTATAGTGTATCAAATTATAGGATAACACAAACTATTTAATTAAAATGAAATGAAAAACAAATTTTTAAGCAAGACGGGAATATTTGTATTTATCTAAAGCTATTTTATTTCGAAAATATTTTTAGTATTTAGTAATTTGACACTTTATTATATTTTAACTTATTAATGGAATAGTGTTTTGAGTTACTTTTTTTTGTCAGTCTGTGATAAAATAATAGGTAAACATCATCCCCGAATTAAAAGCAAAGACATCTTGAAAAGTTTAAAACCTCATTGAGGACGTCCAACCCCCCTTTTTCCGATGATAGCGATTTTATAAAAAGTCATCCCCATCGTTGAATTTAAGTGCTTCGAACTGCTGCAAGTGTAAATGATTTTTCAAATTGAAAATATCGTTTAACAGAATGAAACAGCAATACAAAACAAGGAAAACAAATACCACAGAAAGACGGGGGTAAATTAAAAAAAAAAAAAAAAAAAATCAAAACAAAAAGTACTAAAAATAGACAAAAAATTTGATGATGTCGCTTTCGTTTGCCACTAGCAATGCCATAACATTGCACAAAAATAAATAGCATGGAATAAAATATTTCAAAATAAATTTTTTTAAAAAATTAAGAAGTGTGACCTACACAAAAAAAAATGTCATCCATTTTAAATCGAGCATACAAAATTTCGACTTATATTTACGTATTTTTTATAATAAGGATTACGTCCGGCCTTTTTTAAGTTTACCCCGATCCAAAACCAATGTTTTTCTAAGATCATACAAAATTTTAATGGATTTGGCTAGGGACTGCGGTCATTTCACTTGACATTTTGAGTTATTAACCCATAACATTTTCGAAAAATCCTTAAATCATTTATGTATTTACCTAATGTCTTCCAGCTGTGTTTAGTAATTTCATATATGCATTCGGTCATTCGAAAATGGTTATTTGGAAATAAAACGCACGTGGCTATGGTCGGTCGCAATATTGGATCATCATTTTCCTGCGTGTATGCAAGGTGGGTGGCAATTTTCAGGGTTGGAAAAGGGAAACTGGGAGTCGTAGTGAGACAGTGAGACAGCCACCAGTCCAAAACTCAGCCGTAGTCGTTGATTTTTTCGTCGCCAGTATGTGTGGCTGTTTCTGCGGCTGTCCATGTCCAAGCATTCCATTTTTCCTATCCCCCATTAAAACTTGCGTGGCCCGAGCTCTTCGGGGGTTAGTTATTTTTGGGGACGACAACCGCAGCAGCAGCAGCAGCAACAGCAGCAACAGCAGCATCAGCCCTCTGAACTGTGAAGGAGGATTCTCGATTCTCGACGAAGGATAGCGAATATGTGCAGGTTGGGCTGCCAGCGGCGCGTAGCAACGTGTGTTGTTTCAGTTTCATTTTCATTTTCGGTCTCAGTTTTCTGGGCCGCTGTCTCTGGAGTTGGCTGTACTGCTCCAAAGCAGGAGGATAGTACACAACCCACGGCTGCGATGACATCCAGAAAACGGAAAGAATGAGCCGATAAATCTTTGCGGAACCACAAAGACCTGTTTGGCGGAATTCTGTTTGTAATAAATAACTTAAAATAGATTTTATATTTAATGTAATTCCCACCTTTATATCTCAAATATATATAGCTCTCTTGTAAAGCTCGTTTGGGATAATGTTTGTCTATTTATCTCTCACGTGTTGTGTAAAACATTTCGTAAATTTACCTGACCTTACCATCAAATAAAGTTTAAAATTATGAGTTGGAAAAATTTGTTTTGAAGCATTGCTAAATGTAAAGTTTCTTTTACGTTTTTATTTTTACATTACGATTTACACTACAAAAGAGTAGTAGTAGAAAGAAGAGAATCCCAAGAGCAATCTTTCTTATGGTGGTTCGATATATTTACATTTATCTAAACCATTTGGTTTTTGAAACTTTAAGTAACTGAAGAGATTTGACTAAATTTATTGTGGTCAATGCTTGGCGTAATTTCCGTTGTTATCAAGCTCAGGCAATAATTGATCACTATATCTGGATCAGATGGCTATCCAATCACGGCGGCCAAAAGCTGGATTGGAAAATGTCAAGGGTGCTGTCTGTCCTTCTGACCATCTGTCCATATGCCCTGCTCTCAAAGTGAACAAAAAGAAGCACAAACTTGGCGATGGTGATGATTTTGTTGCCTGTTGTTCTGTTTCTGAACTTTGAAGGATTTTCCAATCTAGGATGCCTTATGTGTGTGTGTGTGAGTGTGTGTGTGTGTGTGTGTGTGTGTGTGTATTGGCGAAAACTCCCCATACAAACACATGGCCAGAGGGCCACGCATAATACACATGCAAATGTCAAAGCTGCCAGGCTGTCGCCATACGCGAAAGCGTCACTTGTGCCACCTAACCACCCACCCACCACCCACTATGGCACCCATTTTGCCACCCACCATCCATCCACCCAGACGGCCATTGGCGACTTTTAGCGGCTTTTATTTGTGCTGGAATGGAAATCGTCTTCTTTGCTGACACTTCTATTACAGTGTTAATTTGTATTGAAGATTCCATTGAGTTGAAGTAATCATTATTACGATTACATACATTTGATTTGTTAGAAATCGTCTTCATGGGAGGGAAATGCTTTAAATGCAATGCCAATGATCAGAGGGTCAATCAAAATTCGTGAATACATTTCTTATAAAAGATTTAGAGTTTTGGGATTGGAAATTTAGGCAAAGGGTATATTCTTATACATATTTTGGAATAATTACCGAAGCCTTTTTTCTGGTGTCTAAAATACCAATAAGAACTGTGAAAGAAATATTTGAATATTGCTAAAATATATAGTGAACCAAATATATAATAGAAACTTGTAATATCTCTTGTGGATGCACTGTATCGAGCGTACACTGTACTGTTATTTGCTGTTGTTCTTATTCTGTGTCGTCCACGCGTCTTCTCTATGCTCCAGTAAAATTTGAGGAGGGTTGTTAAAGAAAAGCGATAAGTGGGTGGGTGGGTAGATAGGTGTGTGTGTGTGTGGTGTGTGAACTTTGTAAAACTCACCACCGTCTTTTGCCAAACCGGTCCCAGTCGACGTCTTCCTCTCCTTATGTCTTACTATCTGTAACACTCTGGAAAAATAAGAATATCAGTTAAGAGTTACCTTGCTCGCCCAAAATAATCGAATTAAGTTTTTGTTAACTTCTTAAAAATGCTTTGGAACTGCATTGTTTATAGAACGCGTTGGTTTTACAATATATTTTTATGATTAGTTTTTTATCTTGAAAATTAATGTTTTTTTCTTAGTGTGACTTCTTTCTTTTTTTCTTGTCGGTTTTGTTCTGCTTGGCAAAATTGTTTGCCACAAACAATTGCACATTTTTTCCGACTCTAAAAATTGGAGTGTTGTTTTAAGCCTTTTTCTTTGTTATTTTTATGCCCATTAGTTTTAGAGTCAAAAAGTTTATTGTAGTGCTGCAAAACTAAGTAAGAAAGTTAACTTTATTAATCAGCATTAATAGCCATGATCTACAATTGTATATGTTAAAAAATGTGGAATCTAAGTGCATAATAAGTTGGCATAGGCAATATCCACAAATACATTCTATTTCGAACAAAGTTATCTTCACACGCCTTTCGTATATGCAATTTATTTTGGGTGTCTCATATTCTACATTGTATTTTTTACGGCCTGCGGAGAAAAAACCGCAAGAGCAAAGGTATATAAAGACTAAAATTGCGACACTTAAAACACAATTCAAAAACTTTCGTTGTTGAGGTGTTTAAATTTTTCAAATTGCATTCTATTTAACCAATAATATAATTTTTAAAAATTCTTAAAGTATTTTTAAATTTAAAATGCAACATTTAAAAACATTAGACATTTTTTTTCTGTGGAGTTACTTATACATTTGTTATCCTTCGTTGGCGGCAAGAACAATTACAATAACAATGGAGTTGGAAAACAATGCGTGCGAAAGGCTCCCTAACGCTTTAAGACGCTTTTGATATTGCTTTTGTTTTCTTTCAGTGTTCCTTTGCGGTTGTGTGAGTGCTGCTTTCCGTTCTTTTTGTTATTGTTTATGCTGGATGCATTCGCACTATGTTGCTTACTCTTTA